GCCATTATTGCTAACATTATACAGATGTTTCATACCTTTTTTGTACAAGACTATAGGAACTTCCTAAGGTTTCTGTGACACCGAAAGACTGACAGACAATAAAGCTATTGAATACCATATGAAGGGGCGTGGCTTCTGTAACAGCTTTTTTACCTGCTCTTGCAACATATGGCCTATACGAAAGACCATGCTAAGCAGATGGTTGACATTTCATTTGATGCAAACTTATGTTGATAACAGACTCAAATCCTTAATCAAAGTTGAGGAAGCCACTGGCCTGATCCAAAGAACACATAGTTTGCTTTCTGGAGCCAATCTCAGACTCCATAAGATTGCCTCAAACAGTGCTGTTGTCATGAATGCACTGGTGAAAACACAAAATTTAAAGACTTAAATCTGGGGGTGGGTAAGCCACCCATACAGAGAAGTCTAGGCTTACCGTGGGACTAATTAAAATACAAATTTGGCTTTCAAGTTAGCTCTACAGACAAACCATTTATGAAATGCGGTGTTCTCTCAATGGTGAACAACCTATATGATCCACTTGGGTTCATAGCTCCCATCACCATAGAAGGCAAATTCTTCTTACTAAGTCAGTTATCAGAGACTACTAAAAACTCAGATTCTCTGCTACCAGCTAACAAAAAATTTAAATGGGAGGATGTTGCTACACATCCTTTTCCCTTGCTGCAAGTCAAATTCCTCAAAATTCCTATCAAATCTGAATTCTCACATTTTCAAGGATGCATCCATTGAGGACATAGTAGCTGTTGCCTACCTCAAGGTAATAGACTCTTGCAATCAAGCCCATGCTGGGTTTCTGTTTGGCACAGACAAGTTAGTACCTAAGCTTAAGCAAAAATGATTAGGAAATTTTCCATGCCTGAACAATGACATTATATTCCATCTGTAATTAATCCTGCCAATCATGCCACCAGATCAGTATCCACAGGTGTTTTTGCATATTCTTCCTAGTCCTAAATTCTTGGTGAATAATGCAGAAGGAACTGCTGATTTATTCAGTCTCAGGGCCGGTTAACACTGATGTGGTGCTGGATTTGCAGGGATTCCTGTGTGTTTCCCTCACCGCATTACAATTGCACTCCATTCACGTGAAACGCTGCAGGTGTCAAAGTTAACGACACCCTAAAAATGGTTCACAAAATGCAGTGTGATTGGCTAAATTGGATCGCATAGGTGTGAACACCCATGTGATTTGATTCCAGCGCAGAAAAAAAAGGGTCCTGCACCTGTCCAAATCACATGCGCTTTCTGGCACCGCATCATTGTGAACTGGTCCTCAGCGACCTTGACAAAGTTCCCGAGATTAGTCCTAAAATCAACATATGTAGTTTTTCAAGCCTGAAGAAGGATTTAATCTGAAAGTGTACTGTAAGAACATATTTTGACAGAAAAAGATGTAACCTTTGAAAGAAAAGGTATGTAGCAGCCTTGAATACTTTACTATATATATATTTATAAACACACACACATATTTATATACTGTATATGTGTTTATTACTGTATATATACAGTGGGGCAAAAAAGTATTTAGTCAGTCACCAATTGTGCAAGTTCTCCCACTTAAAAAGATGAGAGAGGCCTGTAATTGGCATCATAGGTAGATCTCAACTATGAGAGACAAAATAAGAAACAAAATCCAGACAATCACATTGGCTGATTTGGAAATAATTTGCAAATTATGGTGGAAAATAAGTATTTGGTCAATATCAAAAGTTCATCTAAATAGTTTGTTATATATCCTTTGTTGGCAATGACAGAGGTCAAACGTTTCCTGTAAGTCTTCACAAGGTTGGCACACACTGTTGCTGGTATGTTGGCCCATTCCTCTATGCAGATCTCCTCTAGAGCAGTGATGTTTTGGGGCTGTCGCTGGGCAACACAGACTTTCAACTCCTTCCAAAGGTTTTCTATGAGGTTGAGATCTGGAGACTGGCTAGGCCACTCCAGAACCTTGAAATGCTTCTTACGAAGCCACTCCTTCGTTGCCCGGGCGGTATGTTTGGGATCATTGTCATGTTGGAAGACCCAGCCACGTTTCATTGTCAATGCCCTTGCTGATGGAAGGAGGTTTGCACTCAAAATCTCACAATACATGGCCCCATTCATTTTGTCCTGTACATGGATCAGTCATCCTGGTCCCTTTGCGGAGAAACAGCCCCAAAGCATGATGTTGCCATCCCCATGCTTCACAGTAGGTATGGTGTTCTTGGGATGCAACTGAGCATTCTCTCTCCTTCAAACACGACAAGTTGTGTTTCTACCAAACAGTTCTATTTTGGTTTCATCTGACCATATGACATTCTCCTAATTCTCTTCTGGATCATCCAAATGCTCTCTAGCAAACTTCAGATGGGCCCGGACATGTACTGGCTTAAGCAGGGGGACACGTCTGGCACTGCAGGATCTGAGTCCCTGGCGGCATAGCGTGGTACTGATGGTAACCTTTGTTACGTTGGTCCCAGCTCTCTGCAGGTCATTCACTAGGTCCCCCCGTGTGGTCCTGGGATTTTTGCTCACCGTTCTTGTGATCATTTTGACCCCACGGGGTGAGATCTTGCGTGGAGCCCCAGATCGAGGGAGATTATCAGTGCTCTTGTATGTCTTCCATTTTCTAATTATTGCTCCCACAGTTGATTTGTTCACACCAAGCTGCTTGCCTATTGCAGATTCAGTCTTCCCAGCCTGGTGCAGGTCTACAATTTTGTTTCTGGTGTCCTTCGACAGCTCTTTGGTCTTCACCATAGTGGAGTTTGGAGTGTGACTGTTTCAGGTTGTGGACAGGTGTCTTTTATACTGATAACAAGTTCAAACAGGTGCCATTGATACAGGTAATGAGTGCAGGACAGAGGAGCCTCTTAAAGAAGGTACAGGTCTGTGAGAGCCAGAAATCTTGCTTGCTTGTAGGTGACCAAATACTTTTTTCCACCATAATTTGCAAATAAATTCTTTCCAAATCAGCCAATGTGATTGCCTGGATTTTTTTTCTCATTTTGTCTCTCATAATTGAGGTCTACCTATGATGCCAATTACAGGCCTCTCTTATCTTTTTAAGTGGGAGAACTTGCACAATTGGTGGCTGAATAAATACTTTTTTGCCCCACTGTACATACGCACTTACATACCTACGCTATCATGGGACAATATAATACAGTACACATATTTATTCCCCCTGCTTAGAACAAACCAAACCCATCCCTATTAAAGCCTAACTCCAGGTTTACTCTCATTTAAAATAGTCATTTTGGGTCCAGCTGCCCCAAGTGAACTATTTCCTTTATTAACTGAGGCAGCCACTGTCAGTGTTGTATAAACTGTATGTAGCATTGGCTACATACAGTTTGCAGCAATATGTTCTAGCAGTGGTACAGGGACTTCCCGTCTGCTGCCAAAACAAAATCAACTTGGGATAAGCACTGCTCAGCCATTCACAAAAAGCAGTTCTTCAGTAATTACAAGGCTCCCTCAGGCTGGCTGAGGTGGAGATTGTGACATTATCCAACTGCCTCTCCCAGTACACAGCACTGTATACTGTATGTAGATGATGCTACATACAATTTAAACAGTGCTGGCAGCATCCACAGCAATTACTAAAGAGTATAGCTAATTTGAACCAGCTCATCTCAAGCAAACTTTTTAAAGTGAAAGTAAACATGGAGTGAGACTTTAACCACTTCCCGTCCGGCCCCTGTATATTAATGACCGGACAGGGGCAGTGCAGGGGTGGGTTGCCGTTCATAAACGGCGCCTGCAATTTTGGACTGTGCGTGCTCCCTGGGAGCGTGCGGCACCGCAATCCGGTGCCCGCTGTGTCCTCCTCTGCACTGGTGTGGTGGTGATCAGGAACAATGTTGCTAGCTGAATTGGTCTGGTGACAGTGGGACATGTATAGTGGCAATCAGGAACACTGTTCCTGGCTTACACTGGTCTGGTGGCACTTAGGAATAGTGTGGCAGCATTAAACACTTCACGTCTGGCCGTTGTATATAAACGGCCAGACGGTTGCAGTGCAGGGTCGGGTGGCCGTTTATAAACGGCCTCCCTGCCCCTTGCTTTTGTGCGCTCCCTGGGAGCACGCAGCACAGCGATCCCCCGGACACAGTGGAACACCGATCGCTGTACGGGATCTCTGTGTGAGGTCCCGATCATATGATCACTGATTGGTCAATCAGTGATCACATGAATAGTAGTAAGCAGAATGTCACTTCTGACATCATTGCTTACTACATGTGAAATCTGTGAATGATCACAGAGATCACATGGTACAAGGCTATTCACAACAGCCTTGTACCATGTCACAAGCTGTGACCAATCACAGCTCACACAGTATTTATCAATGGCTGCAAGAATGCAGCCAGAGAGAAGGAGAAATTATTGCTTTTATGGGTTTAAAAGCAATCAGTGTAAAAAAAAAAAATCATCACCACACCCCACAAGTAGTACAGTGTCACTATGAAAAATTATAATTTTTGGTTATAAACTAATTTGGGTTATTTTTTTTTACTAAAAAGAGAACTGAATAAATTTTGGCCAATATTTATGAAGAAAGATTATTTGCAAACTTTTATAAGAAAAACACTTTTTTTCAAAAATTTTGGACTTTTTCATTTATATAACAAAAAAAATATCCCAGTGGTGAATAAATACCACCAAAATAAAGTTTTATCTGTCTCAAAAAAAAATTAATATGGATATAGTGTTGCATGACCGTGCAATTGTCATTCAATGTGTGACAGCGCTGAAAGCTGAAAATGGGCCTGGACAGGCAGGGGGTAAAATTGTCCGGACATGAAGTGGTTAAGGATAGTGAAAAGCTATGCTATACATCTGTTTACCTAGCAAACAAGTGAAAAATAGGCCATTGCTTCCTAATTTAAGTAAAATGGGCCAGTATTCATATCACTACTTATTTACATTTGCCAGCCGGCATGAGGAGCAAGAAACCATTCTTGAAAAACAAATATCTCAGTTCTACGTACCAATTTTTTCCAGTTGTTTGGACACATGTGTTGAATTTTCCCATAATTTACATCTGAAGCATTTAGCAAGAGTTAAGGCATTCAGAAATGCAGTGAATTTCTTTTCTTGCAATGCAAGAAACTCTAACAGATCTACAATTGGAATAAAAACTGGTTAAAGAAACATTTGATCACTGAATGTTTGCAACAGATAAAGAAAATGCATACATTTAGTTACTCGTATGCCATGTCTGAAAATCTTTGCCATGTCTTGTGTTAGTGAAAAGTCTTGAACAGGAATACATCCAAGTTGTGCCTGTATAAGACTGAAGTTAGAATGAAATGAGTTAGTATAGCTTCCATTTCTAGACCTGGCATCCTTCATTGAACATATACACATACAATATATTAACCTGAATTCGCACACACTTGCACGCACATACACAAGTTGCATATTTACCAGTTCACTTTCATTTCCCTGGATTTTATTTTACCCTCCATCGGAAACCTTTGTTTGGAAGTAAAACAGATTATAGGGTAATTTATCCATACATTAAGAAGAGCACAACGTATTTGTTTAAAATACAATTACAAGAGCTTATACTTCAGACATTAAATATGAACAAACCATATCCCTGTATACTGTGTACTTGTCTGAATTAAGAGCACTTAGGCTACGTTCACACTAGCCTTGTGTGCAGGCGGCAGAGAGGCGTTTGGGAAGCGTTTTTACCGCTTCCCAAACGCCTCTGCCAATTCTGCACATTACAGCACATGGTGCTGTTCTAACGGGAGCGTTTGCGTTGCGTCGCAGCAAAACGGACGCCTCTGGTCGAGTCAGGAGGCTTTGAAGCCTCCTATTCTCGTCTATGGTGCCGCTCCGCAAACGCCCGGCCGGCGTTTGCGGTGCGGTTGCGACGCGTTTGCGGGGCGTTTGCGGAGCGGTAACACCACTCAAACTGTATTATAGGCGTTTGTGGGGCGTTATTAACGCTCGGCAAACGCCTAGCAACCGCCACTAAACCGCGCATGCGGTGTTTGCGGAGCGTTTGCCGAGCGTTAATAACGCCCCACAAACGCCGGACCAACGCTTGCCAAACGCTATAGGGGCGTTTGGCAAGCGTTGGTAAAACAGCCAAGTGTGAACGAGCCCTAAGTCTCATTTCTGTCTGCTGCCCCGTTCCTTTGCTATCAACATGAATCACTTCTGACATGTTTTCCTGATACCAAGAGAAAAATAGTGACAGGGAGGGACCTCCATCAGATTGACAGCTCAGCTCTGTGTGCTGCGTGAAGGGGGTGTGTCCCTTCTCTCCAATCAGTTCTCAGAGCTCTCCCCACTGAGTTCTACAGTGTGTAATTTCAGTCCTCCAACCCTTTTTTTCTGAGAGCTCACACAAGCTTTATACACTTTGGACTTTGAACAGATGTAGAGAAGAGAAGACTGCACATAAACAGGTACAACTTAGGCAGGAGGATTTTTCCCAACTGTTTGTATGACCTGAGGCTAGTAACATCATGGAGCATATATACAGTAAGGGTTTATAAACACTATAAGGCTAGTACGTGAGAAACATCATCCTTCTCCTATTCGACACCACAAGAGACAGCTTTGGACTGTTCAAACAGCCATGCAACCCGATCAGGTGGCTTCACCACAAATTGAACTGTTAGTGCAATGATAACAATATAAATACAGTAAAGCTCAACCTAACATCATCTATAATAGATATGTAAACATTTTATACTGAACACAAGATACTCTAGAACCCTAGTGCACAACTTGCGGCCTAAGAGCCATATGTGGCCCTCTGGAATATGATGTGCAGTCACCGGACCTCAACAGTCTGTGGGAGCATTGATTAGGGTAACCTACAGTCAGGTCCATAAATATTGGGACATCGACACAATTCTAACATTTTTGGCTCTATACACCACCACAATGGATTTGAAATGAAACAAACAAGATGTGCTTTAACTGCAGACTGTCAGCTTTAATTTGAGGGTATTTACATCCAAATCAGGTGAACGGTGTTGGAATTACAACAGTTTGCATATGTGCCTCCCACTTGATAAGAGACCAAAAGTAATGGACAAGCATAATAATCATAAATCAAACTTTCACTTTTTAATACTTGGTTGCAAATCCTTTGCAGTCAATTACAGCCTGAAGTCTGGAACTCAGACATCTCCAGACGCTGGGTTTCATCCCTGGTGATGCTCTGCAAGGCCTCTACTGCAACTGTCTTCAGTTCCTGTGTTCTTGGGGCATTTTCCCTTCAGTTTTGTCTTCAGCAAGTGAAATGCATGCTCAATTGGATTCAGGTCAGGTGATTGACTTGGCTATTGCATAACATTCCACTTCTTTCCCTTTAAAAACTCTTTGGTTGCTTTTGCAGTATGCTTTGGGTCATTGTCCATCTGCACTGTGAAGCGGCGTCCAATGAGTTCTGAAGCATTTGGCTTAATATGAGCAGATAATATTACCCGAAACACTTCAGAATTCATCCTGCTGCTTTTGTCAGCAGTCACATCATCAATAAATACAAGAGAACCAGTTCCATTGCCAGCCATAAATGCCCACGCCGTGACACTACCACCACCACGCTTCACTGATTATTATTATTATTATACAGTATTTATAAAGCGCCTATAGTTCGTTCAGCGCTGTACATTACAAAGGGGGACAGAACATGTGACAGAACAACAATACAATGCAAAACATGAGGGGATCGAGGGCCCTGCTCTTTCGAGCTTACAATCTAGGAGGGAGGGGATGGTGGCACAGGAGGAGATAGCTGTGGGGGATGGGGTGGTAGGAAGAGTGGAGGAGGTTGGCAAGTTAGCAGGGGGTGGGGTAGGCTTCCTTGAAGAGGTGGGTTTTCAGGGTGCGCCTAAAGGAGAGGTTCAGTTTAAGGAAGTGGAGCGACATCCAGTCTGATATGTCGCTCAGTAGCTTTGTGATTTGGGCAGAGACTGAGGTGGTGGGTTGAGAGATAGATTTGTGTGTCGTCGGCATATAGGTGGTAGTTGAAGCCGTGAGAGTGTATGAGTTGGCCAAGGGAGGAGGTGTAGATGGAGAAGAGAAGGGGCCTGAGAACGGAGCCTTGAGGGACCCCAACAGAGAGGGGGAGTGAGGGGGAGGTGGTAGCATTATAGGTAATGCTGAAAAAGCGTTGTGACAGGTAGGATGAGAGCCAGGAGAGAGCAGAATCTCTGAGGCCAAGGGAGTGTAGTTTTTTGAGGAGGAGGGGGTGGTCGACTGTGTTGAAGGCCGCAGAGGGGTCAAGGAGTAGGAGCACTGAATAGTGGCCATTAGCTTGGGTGGTATGCTTAGGATCATGAGCAGTTCCTTTCCTTCTCTATACTCTTCTCTTCCCATCACTCTGGTACAAGTTGATCTTGGTCTCATCTGTCCATAGGATGTTGTTCCAGAACTGTGAAGGCTTTTTTAGATGTCGTTTGGCAAACTCTGTCGTTTGGCCTTCCTGTTTTTGAGGCTCACCAATGGTTTCCATCTTGTGGTGAACCCTCTGTATTCACTCTGGTGAAGTCTTCTCTTGATTGTTGACTTTGACTCACATATACCTACCTCCTGGAGAGTGTTGATCTGATCTGGCCAACTGTTGTGAAGGATGTTTTCTTCACCAGAGAAAGAATTCTTCGGTCATCCACCACAGTTGTTTTCCGTGGTCTTCCGGGTCTTTTGGTGTTGCTGAGCTCCAAACAGTTGTTTTGGCCACGCCTAATGTTTTTGCTATCTCTCTGATGGTTTTTTTTTGTTTTTTCAGCCTAATGATGGTTTGCTTTACTGATAGTGACAGCTCTTTGGATCTCATCTTGAGAGTTGACAGCAACAGATTCCAAATGCAAATAGCACACTTGAAATGAACTCTGGACCTTTTATCTGCTCATTGTAATTGAGATAATGAGGGAATAACACACACCTGGCCATGGAACAGCTGAGAAGCCAATTGTCCCATTACTTTTGGTCCCTTAACAAGTGGGAGGCACATATGCAAACTGTTGTAATTCCTACACCGTTCACCTGATTTGGATGTAAATACCCTCAAATTAAAGCTGACAGTCTGCAGTTAAAGCACATCTTGTTCGTTTCATTTCAAATCCATTGTGGTAGTGTATAGAGCCAAAAATGTTAGAATTCTGTCGATGTCCCATTATTTATGGACCTGACTGTATATATAGATATATATATCTATATATAGATATATATATACACATACACACACACACTACCCAAAAAAATTAAAGGAACACTTTGAAAACACATCAGATCTCAATGGGGAAAAATATCATGCTGAATATCTATACTGATATGGACTGGGTAATGTGTTAGGAACGTAAGGATGCCCCATCGTTTGATAGAAATTAAAGTTATCAACCTACAGAGGACTGAATTCAAAAAGACTCCCCACAAAATCAAAGTGAAAAAACGATGCCGCAGGCTAGTCCATTTTGCTGAAATTTCATTGCAGCAACTCAAAATGGTACTTAGTAGTTTGTATGGCCCCCATGTACTTGTATGCATGCCTGACAACATCGAGGCATGCTCCTAATGAGATGACGGATGTCCTGGGGTATTTCCTCCTAGATCTGGACCAAGGCATCACTGAGCTCCTGGACAGTCTGAGGTGCAACCTGGCAGTGTTGGATGGACCGAAACACGATATGCCAGAGGTGTTCTATTGGATTTAGGTCAGGCAAGCGTGGGGGCCATTCAATAGTATCAATTCCTTCATTCTCCAGGAATTGCCTGCATACTCTCACCGCATGGGGGCGGGTATTGTCGTGCACCAGGAGGAACCTAGGACCCACTACACCAGCGTAGGGTCTGACAATGGGTCCAAGGATTTCATCCCAATACCGAATAGCAGTCACGGTGCCATTGTCTAGTCTGTAGAGGTCAGTGTGTCCCTCCATGGATATGCCTCCCAAGACCATCACTGACCCACCACCAAAATGGTCAAACTGAATGATGTTACAGGAAGCATAACGTTCTCTATGGCCCTTTCACTTCTGTCACATGTGCTCAAGGTGAACCTGCTCTCATCTGTGAAAAGCACATGCCAATCAACCAGTGGCCTGCTGGAGGTCATTTTGTAGGGCTCTGGCAGTGCTCATCCTGTTCCTCCTTGCACAAAAGAGCAGATACCGGTCCTACTGATGGGTTAAGGACTTTCTACGGCCCTGTCCAGCTCTTCTAGAGTGACTGCCTGTCTTCTGGAATCTCCTCCATGCTTGTGAGACTGTGCTGGGAGACACAGCAAACCTTCTGGCAATGGAACGTATTGATGTGCCATCCTGGAGGAGTTGGACTCAGCTAGCCCTAGCCAAATGCAAAACTAGTGAAAAAGAGTCAGAAAAGATGAGTAGGGAAAAAAATGTCAGTGGCTTTCACCTGTAAAACCATTTGTTTGGGGGTTGTCTCATTGTTGCCCATTTAGTGCACCTGTTGTTAATTTCATTAACACCAAAGCAGCTGAAACTGATTAACAACCCCCTCTGCTACTTAACTGACCAGATCAATTTACCAAGAGCTTAACTGATTTGATGCTATACTTTGCATAAACAGTGTTCCTTTAATTTTTTTGAGCAGTGTATATACACACTACATTGCCAAAAGTATTGGGACGCCTGCCTTTACATGCACATGAACTTTAATGGCATCCCAGTCTTAGTCCGTTGGGTTTAACATTGAGTCAGCCCACCCTTTGTAGCTATAACAACTTCAATTCCTCTGGGAAGAATGTCCATAAGGTTTAAGAGTCTGTCTGTTGGAATATTTGAACTAAATAAATGCAAAAAAAAAACCCTGCGCTACCTAAATAAAGTGAACAAACAAAATTATGTGAAAAATATGTAACAATGATGGCTGCATTAAAATTGTGTTCCCATAACCAAACCATAAATAAAACAGTACTGCACTGCAAATTAAATCAAAATAAAATTGAACTGAATTAACCACTTAAGGACCGCTTTATAGCAGAAATACTGCTACAGGGCAGCACCTGTGTGCAAAATCACGTATGCATGATTTTGCATTTCCGAGTAGGGGGCACGCGCGAGCCCTACCAGCGCCGCCATTTCACGGCCACAGATGTCAATCACCGTGTCCCGCCCAGTAATTACCCACCAGCGCCCGGTGATTACAGACAATCACTGATGGGAAGGAAGACTGTTTTGTTTACAAACAGTCTTCCTCCCTTTCAACTCGGGCACACTGCTCGGGATGGCTGTGCACATCAAAGCCATCCCGATCAGTGTGCTTACAGTAAAGCACACACCCTTGACCCCTAGTAAAACACTCCCTGCACATAGTTAGCCCTTCGATTGTCCCTCATGTTAACCCCTTCCTGCCCAGTGCCATTAGTATAGTGTCAGTGCTTTTTTTTTTTTTTAGCACTGATCACTGTATTGGTGTCACGGGGGATGTCAGTGACACCAAGTTAGCTCCCCCTAGGGTCAGAATGTCCGCCGCAGTCCCGCTAAAAGTCACTGATTGCCGCCATTACTAGTAGAAAAAAAAACAAATCCCAGTATCTATACCAAGATTTGTAAACGCTATAACTTTCAAGTAAACCAATTAATTTACAAGTATTGGGATTTTTTTTTTTCAACAAAGACATGTAGCAGAATACATTTTGGCCTAAATTTATGATGAAATTTGATTTTTAAAATTTATTTACTAGACATGTTTAATAGCAAAAAGTCCAAAATATAGTTTTTTTTTCTCAAAATTGTTGGTCTTATTTTGTTTATAGCACAAAAAATAAAAAAATGCACAGGTGATCAAATACTACGAAAAGAAAGCTTAATTTGTGGGAAAAAAGGACGTAAATTTCATTTGGATGCAGTGTTGCATGACCGCGCAATTGTCAGTTAAAGTAACGCAGTGCTGTAATGCAAAAAATGGCCTGGTCATGAAGGGGGGTAAATCCTCAGGAGGGCAAGTGGTTAAAACATAACTGTAATAAAGTGTCAGTGAAAATGAGTTCATAAATGTAAAATCATCAATAATGATTCCACAGATAAAATTTATCCCGTCAAAGATTTTATATGTTGCAATACGGAAGGAGTAGTTTATGTATGGAGTGTACGTGCACATTTCAATATGTGGGTAGAACTAAAAGACCGTTGAATGTTAGAACTAAAGAACATATACAAATATTAAAAAAAGGCTACAGTAAGCACATTGTATCGAAACATGTTTATTAGTGCACAATAAGGATATGTCCCATTTAAAATTTTGAGGGATTGAAAGTTTCAAAAAACATTGGAGAGGAAGTCATGAATTACGTACTCTTAGCCAATATGAGTCTAGGTGGCTTCATACTCTAGATACTCTGACCCCTAGTGGTTTAAATATTGAGTTTGATTTAAATTGTTTTATCAGCCATTTTTAGTTTTAATTATTTACATTTTATGTTTATGAGTATTTACCCCTCTTTTGTTATATTATCGTATCTTTAATTATTGTTTTGCTTCTTTCATTGTCACCATTCATGTTATATTATTAGTATTCATTTCCTAGATTGTAAGCTCGAAAGAGCAGGGCCCTCAATCCCCTCATGTTTTGCATTGTATTGGTATTGTTCTGTCCCCCTTTGTAATGTACAGCGCTGAGCGAACTATTGGCGCTTTCTAAATACTGTATAATAATAATAATAATAATAAATTTATGTCAACACTTAAATATAATTCTCGATTTGGTTTTTATATATTGTGATCCTCCACTGTTCATCTCCTGTGGAATGGTTGTAGGGATGTCCACATTGTCTGTTTACCTTCTATGTTACTCCAATGATCATCACCAGTTAACATTCACCGGGTTTAATATCCTAAGTGGTTTTCTAGGATCATGCAATATAGTATGATGATCGAGCATTATGTTATCATGTCGATGGTTTAATACTTATGTCTCAGTCTAAGGTAAAATGGCCGCCATAGAACTCTGCACTACTAACAAATGGCTGCCGCTGCTCCTTCTTGTGACTAATAAAAATGGCCACCGTTTCATTGACTCTCAGACACTATATAAGGATTCCTCATCTGCCCGCTACCATCCCTCTGATGAAGTCACGTGGGCGTGATGCAACGCATAAGGGGCATGGCTTTTTTACATGTGAGTGTACCACTGTTTTAATAAATACATACTGCACCATCAGAGTGTCCTTTGTTTCCTCTATTAAAGAGAAATCTGTGACCTCCAACTTCCTTAAAGGGACCGGTCCCTAGTTCTGGCTTGATACTTTATTGAAAGCTTAAAGATGTTTGACCACTTTCATATGGTTGATGAGCGGGAAAGTGAAGTGCCTGTTGCCTATTTGGTATTACAAAGCACATTACTATTGCTCTGAGGTGAGAGTTCTGTGAGCACTGAGGTGACACTGAATATGATCTATATCACTTCATCTGATAGTGTTGGGATATCAGCACGTGAAGAAGCATATAAATCCATGAAAAGTTATATTACTGAATCATTATTGATGATTTTACATTTATGGACTCATTTTCATGGACGCTTTATTTCAGTTATGTTTTAATTCAGTTCAATTTTATTCTGATTTAATTTGCAGTCAGTATTGTTTTATTTATGATGTATTACAATATTTGATCATTCTTCCAGAGCACATTTGTGAGGTCAGGCACTGATGTCGGACGAGAAGGCGAGGCTCGCAGTCTCGACTCTAGTTCATCCCAAAGGTGTTCAATTAAGTTGAGGTCAGGACTCTGTGCTGGCTAGTCAAATTCCGCCACCCCAAACTTGCTCATCCATGTCTTTATGGACCTTGCTTTGTGCACTGGTGTGCAGTCATGCTGGAACAGTAAGGGGCCATCCCCAAATGGTTTCCACAAAGTTGTGAGCATGAATTTGTTCAAAAAATGTCTTGGTATGCTGATGACTTAAGAGTTTCCCTCACTGGAACAAAGGGGCCAAGCCCAAACCCTGAAAAACAACCCACACCCTAATCCCCCCTTCACCAAACTTTACACTTGGCACAATGCAGTCAGGCAAGTATTGTTCTCTTGGCAATTGCCAAACCTAGGCGCATCCATCGGATTGCCAGACAGAGGAGCATGATTTGTCCCTCCAGAGAACACACCTCCACTGCTCTAGAATCAAGTGGCGGTGTGCTTTACACCACTGCATAAGAGACTTTGCATTGCTCTTCAGGATATAAGGCTTGTATCCAGTTACATGGCCATGGAAACTCATTACATGAAGCTCTCTACGCACTGTTGTTGTGCTAATCTAAAGACCACACAAAGTTTGGAGGTCTTTAGCTATTGGCCCTGCAGACAGTTGGCAACATCTGCGCACTGTGCGCTTCAGCATGTGCTGACCCCACTCTGTCATTTTATGTGGCCTACCACTTTGTGGCCGAGTTGCTGTTGTTCCCAGTTGCTTCCACTTTGTTATAATACAACTAACAGTTGAGCGTGGAATGTTTAGTAGCAAGGAAGTTTCATGGCTATCAACCTATCATAGAACCACGCTTGAATTCACTGAGCTCCTGAGAGTGACCCATTCTTTCACAAATGTTTGTAGAAGCAGCCTGCATGCCTAGGTGCTTGATTTTATACACCTGTGGCCATTGAAGTGATTGGAACACCTGACTCCAATGATTTGGAGGGGTGTCCCAATACCTATGGCAATATAGTGTATATATAGACATTCACACACACAGGGGTTTATTTACTAAAGCTGGTTCACTCGGAATCTCATGTACTTTTGCATGGAAACCAATCAGCTTACAAGTTTTATTGCTAAAGCTTTACTGAACAAGCGGAGGATAGAAGCTGACTGGTTACCATGCACAGGTGCACAAGATTCTGAGTGAACCAGCTTCAGTAAATCTTCTCCACAGTGCCTACAGCTGTGTAACGAATTTCAGGCTTCCATTTTACCTAATGGTAATTCTGTTTTTGTCCTTGTTCATTGTATTGAGCAATTTCTTCTCACTTGTTCTGAGTTGGACATCAGAGAATTCTTTACATGTAGATATTATTGTGACCTGAATACATGTTTGATGACATGGGAGAAAAGATTTGTATCTGAATACAATTGCAAGCCACTTTAAAAAACAACAAACAAACAAACAAACAAACAAACAAAAAAAACAGTGTTGAAAAACAATTACCAGTTCCGACAAGGTCTCTTTTCCATGAATATTGTAGAACAGTTTGGCTGTGTCAAAGGCAATATAATAGGTTGCTATCAGTTTACCAGTTTCTAGAAAAGAGATGAATACAGATTTGGTTGGTACTATAAACAATAAATATGTAATATCAGTAACATGTCAACCTTTTTATGGTATATTATATTTTGGTACATGCTAGAGATTTAAAACTTAAGATAATTTCTTATATGTTTTTGGGCTCTATTGGTAGGATATCTGCACCTAGAGTGGTTGTAAAGTTTATTTTTTAATTAAAATAAAAAAGGTGTTATACTTACCTTCTCTACGCAATTATATTGCAAAAAGCAGTCTCTTACCCTCTCTGCGAGGGGCGCTGTCCACTCCTTCATGTAGGTGCCTCCATAGCAAGCCCTGTGCTATGGGGAGATTTGTGCGGGTGCACTCAGGAGCCGGGCTTTTTGCGTCCATAGACAGAACATCGCTGGATTGGTGAAAGAGTCAGATATGTGATTTAGGGAGGGGAGCCACAACAACTAGTGGGATTTTTTTACCTTAATGCAGGGAATGGATTGAGGTAAGCCCTGGTTCACACCAGTACAACTTGTCATGCGATATGAAAGTTCCAAATAGCATGTCAAGTCGCACCCTATTTGTGCCTATGGAACTGTTCAAATCTCACTTTACGCTGCAGCACCAATTTTGAAAAAAGGTTCATGCATTATTTTTGGCAAATTCATGTGCAACTTGCATAGACATCTGTGCATGAAGTCACACAGATGTCAGGCAAGCCGCACATGAAATCGCACTGACCAGCAGCTTTGAAATCGTGCTACGTCAAATGAAGAAGTGCGATTTCAAAGCCTCATTTAACGTGTGAACCAGAGCTCAAAAACATTTAGACTTTAGAACCACTATGAGTTTATGAAGCCCATTTACTGAAAAGTAGAACCTATTTAGCAAATCAAATATTTACTTTAAAAAGTGTAAGTTCACTGAGTGCAGAAAATAAGATGCTGTGTTCACTTTGAATATTCAATAACATGCAAGAGTAGTTAGAAGATTGAAGTGAACACACCTTATTCACCAAGCAAAATGACCATTCTCTTTGGAAAGTGTACAGACTCTCTACTACTTTGATAAATCAACCACTACTGTATGGGTCTACATAACTGTTGTAGCCATTATGACGAATTTCAATTCTCTTTAATGGATTTTTAATTTTCAATAGGTTTTTAATAAGATTTTAACAGAACATTAATAGTTACAGAAGATTGTGCAGTCATACATTGGTAGTTAATTAGATAATGAACAATGGCCAGTACAGGGCTATGCTCTTTTTCATGGAAATAACAAGCATACCCAGAAATTATATACAAGGATGCAGTATTCAAATGTGCTAAAGATCTAGACTGAAGCATAGAATGCCTCATCACAGTTAAAGAGGTGAGGTAATTTCCACTTTAGTTGTTGAGGGGTAATCATTTTTGCATCTTAGGGGATCTTTAGCTTCTGACAAAATGTCATAAAATGTGACAAAAGAGAAATAAGGAGAAAAAAAGCGAGAGTGGAGGAGAGATCTGTGGTCTCCGTAAAAGAGAAGTATAGTTTTTGACTTTCTGCTCTACCCTTCCAGCGTTCACTGGAGCGCCGGGCTGTGGAAGGGGTGGAAGCAGCTGGCTCAGGCTCTCAGCTCTCTAAAAGGCTGAGACAGCTTCTGCTCAGGCATCTAGGTGGATCCCAGCATTAAAATCAGGATGCCTCCGAGTCTGCACCAGCTGAGTGACGTTAGCCGAAAACAGACTTTAGCCTGGGTCACAGGAGTGCAGAACTAAATGCACTCCTGTGACCTACAGGTGTAGGGACAAAAGAGCTTTTGCCCTACTTCTTCTTTAATGGATTTTTCATTACTGTGCATTACAGGCAATGCAACAAAAGGTGCTGGGACAAGCAAAGACTGGCAGTAACACCCAAGTACACAGAAACGGCATCAGGAATTATGGCTGGGAGGTCTAATTGCTAGAGTTTCAAAGCCAGGAGACTGACTCAATCCAGTAGGCTTTATCTATAATTGAAACATCAATTTTGGGGGGACTGACCCATTAATGTTAAAGGATAATTTCAAGCTAATTACCCACTAGCTTTCTATATCTCTTAGAAAATATTTTCCTGAAGTAGTTTGCATTTTTAATACCTGCTTAAAAGGCATTATTATTCTTTCATCGTTTTTTTTTTCTCTTTAAATATTCCATGACGTAAAATCTATCAGCTTTCTAAGTGTATTCTTTTGGGGGTTTTATTCACTAGTGTACTCAAAAGATATAAAGGTTTCTATGAGATTCAGTTTGACAGCAAGCATGCAAAACTGAATTATTAGTTTGGGTTCAACTGACCTTAAAGAGAACTATACATACTAATGACTTAGAACCTATTGTCCCCCCCTCGCCTTCCCCATTACAAGCCCAACACAAGCCTCATATCAGACATAGTGTTCTAAACGCTATGGATTATGTTTAGGCATCTTTCCTTACTTTACTGCCATGTGCAGGATTCTACCACAAAGATGAAGTGGCCACCTCCTTTCAGGCTCACAAAGAGATTGACTCTGACTATGTTACATTCTATGGCTGAAAACCTGTACATATGCAGTGGTTCACAGCCTGCCAGTTCCACCAAGGCCTGGAATAGATTGTAACTTGGTAAGCTTTTGATCTGAGACCTGTGCAAGGCATGTAGTATTTGAAAGAGCTCTTTCACACGGACGTTCTGATTGGGTCCACCTGCCTGTTTTTCAGGCGGACCCAATCACAACCTCCATTCTCCTCTATGGATCGGCGGGTGTATATGGACATGTGTCCGTTTACACCTGCTGACATCTGATCTGCCAAAAAAGGACAGATGGGGATCCAATTCCCCTTCCGTCCATCAGATCGGGATGGATGAAAACGGACCGTTTTTTTCATCCGACCGCCCATTGAGGAGAGTGAGCAGCTCTGTGTCAGCTCTGAAGCAGTGGAGCAGACACAGAGCTGTCATCCACTTGCTCAGCGGGGATCAGCGGAGAGATGCCTCGCTGAGCAAACAGATCTGCTAAACAGGTCTGCTCTGTGTGAAATGACCCTAAGGAGGACCAGGAAGCCCAACTGGCCTTAGGACTGTTGAATATACAGATATTCTTTGAAAGAGAACTCCAGACAGAAAATAAATCATCAATTAAAATAAAACAGTATGTGAGGTATGGGGTCCATTGTATTTACATTTTCCTTCTATTGCAACCTGTCTATCACGCACCGCCTGGCGGTATCTCTAGTGATCCACAGGACAGAACTCCCCAGGGAGCGGGGTCTAAGTCCCAGTCTGCTTGTTCACCTGGGCCCCTGATGGTGGGGATGGACTTGGAGCAGACAGTGACCAGGTCACGGCCCCTGAGTGCACCCACCTGTGGTAGAGGGAACCGCCGCCAGAGGTATGTACTGGAAGAGAGCCTGATGTGAAGAGGCGGATATACCTGAGCAGCAGTGACCAGATCCGTGCAGGATGGATGGACGGATGGATGGATGGCAGGGTAGTGTAGCGTAGTCAGACGGGCCGGGTCGGTAACAGCGAAGACAGCACAGTACAGAGCAGCGGACAGAGAGTAGTCGGGTCACACGCCAGGTTCAGCAACAGGAGATCAGATAATCAGGGGTATGCAGGAGAGTAGTCAAACGAGCCAGGGGTCAGAGCAGGAGATGGTCAGCAACAAGGTCAATCAGCAGGAAACAACGAGCAGGAACAGATAAGAAGACCATACGGCAACTTGAGTCTGTGCAGGGCTGATTTAAATAGTGCGCCCTGCACTGTCATTGGTGCCAGGCACGCATTCGTGTTCGCGAGTGCGCATCCGCCGCCGTTTCCGCAGCTGCCTAGGTCCTAGCGCCTGCCGGTTAGAGCGCATCAGCGTTCTGCGCATGCGCAGATCCGTGCGCTGCCGCGATCGCTGACACTGTCCCTCTATTGTAACCTGTATCAGTACCCACACTGAAAGTCCTAAACAGTTTGCAACTACATTGTTTGTGAAAAATACATGGAAGCAGGTTAGCTTCACTGGCATTGAAGTACACAAACCAGAACACAATATTTCTGTCTGTGTGACAGCATTTAATGGAACTGATTCTATTGATGTGTACTAAACTGATTTCCCTTTCTTTTCTATATACTGTATACACAGGAGGAGGACTTATGGGCCTGCTTTTTAAGATGTCTAAAAATTGCTGACACCTGCTAGTTTTGTTGTTTTTTTTCTGCAATGCAAAACCAACAGTTGGAATCTTGTTGGATTCTGTGTGTATCTCAGACTGTTCTTATTTTAGAAATTCATTAATAAGAATGTTTTCTTTTTTCCTTTATGTAATATTGTTAGCATAAATATATAACTAAAGGCAAAATGTCTTGTTTTTTTTCTGTTTCGGACAGAGTGAAGAGCAATTAGAACACCTGTCAGGTTTTTACTGCTGTCTGCACCCTCATCAGGGAGATTCACCCTCTCTATTTGTCATGTTTACTGTGATCATCAAATTGTGCAAGTAAAAAAAAACAGTAACGGGATATCTTCCAATGTGAACATTAGTTCTGCTGATAACCAGGGATTCCCACACTTTGGATTTTCTCTCAATTCCTGTTTTGGCTATGGGACAGAAAGTGAAGGTAAATCTCCCCAATTAGACACAGAGGGCAAAAAAAACCCTGGCAGGGGTTGTAACCATACCTTGCTCTATCTAAAATAAAAAAAAATGTTTTGCATATAGTTCTACCTTAAACCAATCTGAAGGAATCAACATCTTCAACACTGTAAATCCAGGAATTTACTGAAAATGATAATATGATACAATACTTGTACCTTTTAAGTAAATTTTTTAGACTTAAAATATAATTTTTACTAAATATGTTTCCTGCTTACAATCATGGATTTAATAAAGCTAAGCATGTATGCCAGTCTGCAGCATTTAATTTATCATTTATTATTGAATACATCTAAAAATTAGGTAGATAATTAAAGCTGCTTGGTATTTTACCTGTAGGCTTAAAATTAACGTCTTCATCCATTTCAATTAATCCAACAGACGATAAATCATTTAAATTTTTCAAACACAATTCTGTTACGTATAAAATATATATCAATTATCTGCGTAAAGTTGAGGCTTGCCATTAAAACCACAATACAAGCAAAAATACTGTAGCGTAAGTCGAAAGAGTCAAAATACAGGATAGATTTATACAATACTAATTGAATTAACACCTCCAAATTTTTGTTTAGGAATGACTACAGTCTTTTTTTTTTTTTTCTGGTCTATGCTTCATATAGTTTTTACTTTCTGCCACCCAGAATAGTATTGTGTCCAACTTGTCAGAGACTCACCTGCTGTGTTTTAACACCCCGGTTACATCAAGCCCGACTTTGAAATCATGCGACTTACAGTGAAGTCGCACAATTTTAAAGTCGGGTGAGATGCCGATTTCAGGTGCGATTTGCAAGACATCTGACACAGAAGTCTATGCAAATCGCACCAAAAGTAGTACATTGCGAACAATAGGGTGCGACTTGGCATAGGATTTGTAAGTCGCATGGCATGCAAATCGCATGCCAAGTCGCACCTGATGTGACCGGAATGTTAATCCAGCTGGACAATCAACAGTGAGCTGGTGCACACCAGGGAATGTGGTGTGCACCAGCATTCCCTTTATGCTCTCCAGCTTACTGTGCATTTGAAATGGTACTGTGGAGCATGCACATTTGCCAGCAGGCTTTGGGGCGTGTCCTGATTGACCCAGCTCCATTTAAAAGGGCAACCTGCACCACTGACAGAGCAAAAAATATATCAAAAGCCAATAGACTTTCCAGGTACCACATAAACTTGACAATAAAGATATAAAAAACCATTTAAAATGTATTTCAACAAAGCAAATCACACGAACAAAAATATATATATAAATTTAAATAGCAGAGATCTTGCATTATGCTCAACTGTAATGTCCAGAAGGACCACTCCCCCCACATCCTGCTGCTCTTCCTTTCCTCAACATGGTTTGCAGATATTACTGCTCTCTCAGGAAGCATCAAAGAACATTCTAAATATGAATAAAAAGTATAATAATAATAATACACAGATATGTGATACAGATCTAAATCACAGATCTGACCTTCACACAGTTAATTATTACGCAAGTCTATTGTGAGATCTCTGGATTAATATATTTTAATTTGGGGGGAGTCCTTCTGGATGTTACAGTTGAGACATAATGCAGGATTTGTATATTTTAATTATATATATTTTTTGTGATTTGCTTTGTTGAAATACATTTTGAATGCTTTTCTGTCTTTGTTGTCAAGTTTGTTAAAATCAAAGTCCATTGGTCTTTGATATATTTTTTGTTGTTATATCTACGAATGTGGCAACCTGTCACAAATGGTGGCTAACCACTGACCCATTCTATCTTTTTTGTTTTCAACTTGCATATATGTGGGATATATACTTGGATATATGTGGGTTCTTACTTTGGTTTAGATCACTGGTGTCCAACACGCAGCCTGCCGGCCCTCTTCTAGGTCTGTGGGCTATTGGGCACCATCCAGAAAGCACAGGTGCAGCTGGGGGTCGGGCAGTGGAATGTTTTCTTTGTTCCAGCACCCAGAACTGAACGAAAGAGACTATACTGCGGAGTTATCTCCGCCCAGAGTACAAAGTAAAATTCCAGCCTGGACAGAGAAAGCTGAGTGGGGGCATGTGATGGGTAAGTGATCACCAATGGGGAAATGGGTGTTGGACTAACTTTCACTGCCATGACCACTGATGACCAATGCAGGATGGTGGGGGTTAAATTTCATTGCTAGTGACCACCAGTGTTAAGAGTACTGAATCCAATGCTGAGAGTTATTTTTGCACTCACTCACAAATGCCGTGGGCTATTATTGCATCCACTGTCACCAATATTGGGGGTTATTATTGAATTTGCCTACATCACTGCTGAGGGTTAATATTGCACTCAGTACACGAGTGCTGGGGGTTATTATTGCAGTCACGAACACCAATGTTGGGGGATATTATTGTGTCCATTTACAATAATGTTGGGGTTTATTTTTGCACTCACTAACACCAATGTTGGGGGTTATTATTGCATCCACTGGAACCAATGCTAGAGGTTATTCTACCATTCACTGACATCAGTGCTGGGTTTTTTTTATTGCGACCACCAATGTTACTGTTGCACTCACCGACAGCAATGTTGGGGGTTACTATAGCACCTACTGACACCAATGCTGAAAGTTATTATTGGATCCACTGTCACCAATGCTGGGGGTTATTATTGCGTTCACTGACACCAATCATGGAGGTCATTACTGTGTCCATTGACACCAATGTTGGGGTTATTGTATTGCGCTGCTATTGTGTGCCCTCTGGAGGTGTAGTGGGCCGCACTTGAGGGCCTCTATGATTTTCAAGTTGACCACCACTTGTTTAGATACTCCACTCTGGTTACCCCAGACAACAACCTTAAGCTACACTGGGACTGGTAACTGCCTTTAATTTTATCATCAGGAACTCACAGAGAATATTTTAGACTTCACAAACCTACAGAAATATATATGTGCTACATCATTATACTGTAGATACCTACTGTTTATTAAAATCCCATGTAGTAACAGACAATAATAATACCTACTAATGATTCCACCTAAGTAATCTGAATCTCAGCTCCAAAAGGAGCACAAACAGCTGCAAAAAAGTAAAAAATATAGGAAGATATAGGAACATCCTACTGTATGCCAATCAATCAAAATGTGGTCAATACCTATTGGTATAGGCCTTCTATAAACTTTTTTTTTTTTTTGAGGTGGTGCTTTATTTGCAGTGTTCATAAAACACATCGCAAACATCTTCCAATCTTCCATATACTGTTTCAACTCACTTTTATTGCCCAAAAATATCACTTGTGCATGGTTAAAATATTTCCAATTATTATTGTTTTTTTACTGATATCATGCTTGAGGTGATTGTAGCCGTATTAGTGCATTTGCGACAGAAACAATTGAGTACTGTCCGTGATACTTTTTTTTATTTGCACTAACATTTTGAGGACAAGCTTTCGGGGAGTGTCCCCTTCTTCAAGGTTTGAGTACTGCTTGGACCTTGAAGAAGGGGACACTCCCCGAAAGCTTGTCCTCAAAATTGTATATTAGTGCAAATAAAAAAAGTATTACGGGCAGTACTCAATTGTTTCTGTTACTGATATCATAAATTTCAAGCTACACAAATTTATACTCCAAGATTAAATTATCGTTACGAGAAAAAAAATCATTAATTTTGCAGAATAGGTTTGTATAGCTTGTAGCAGAAAATGTGTAAAGCCACATTCCATGCAATCTATGTAGGCTGATATCCACAATAGAAAAAATGTGTTAATTTCTCAGATGTATCTGTTAAACATGCTGAACGATATAGAAAGGTTGATGTACTGTACCTCTAAAAAAGCATGATGAGTTAACATGGTTTTAACCCAAATGTAAACATTTATTAAACTGCAGCTCACCATTGCTTAAATGTAATGGCTACATTAGTTTTCTTTTTATGCTTTCTTTCCTTTATGTTCACCTGGTAATCTGGCCAGGGTGTCTGTTGTTCTTCAACAGAACAAGTTGTCCTGCAAATGTACCAGTTAAGAGTGTTGAGACAAACCATTTACCACTGACAGGGGTGCTTACAATGCTTGTATTTATTTATTCATTTAACCTTTATCCCTGGGAAAAAAAACTATTGCTGTGGCTGCTTGTGTAACTGCAGTGTGAGCTGGAGTTTGGCATCAATTTGTTAGTGCATCTAAATCTGCTAGCTCATCTAACACTCCCCTCTCCTTAGACTGACAATCCTGCTGTCCAAAGTTGCCCTTGTGCTCCTTCATCCAGAGTGGGTCACTTTAATACAGGAGGTGTGTTACTGACCAGATCACCAGGTTAAGACAGTGGAATTTTTTGTTTGGGATTTAATACCACTTTAAAGTAGAAAAAAAAATCCTCAGGAAACTGCTATTTCTCTTACCTTGCAATTTAGCTTCAATCCCTTCTTTACCTAATCCTCTTTGGAAACCTACAAAATAATAATATCAGCAATTTCAAAGTGTAATGAATAAAAAAAAAAAAGACTAGCAAACTGAGGAATGTATATGTGCACTATCGATTTGTGTATTGATTCACTATTGATTCCCATTATATATAAGCAGTAACTACTAATAAAGGCTATGGACAAGTTAACTTTCACACTACCATTCTATTCAACTTCCCATAGTCACAAATAGGGCCACCAAACCCCGCTCTTCCATATATTTTCCCATATGACAGTGTTTGCACAGTCATTTGCCAAATATCAGCTCTGCCACATGCTCCCCCACACCAAGACATTTTGGGTGTTTTCTATTCACTTCTGGTGTTGAGAATAGAGACTGGGGAAGGAAAGGAAGTCAAGTATATACTGCTGGTGAGGCCATTATTAAAGTGTACCTACATATATGTATACAGTTAGATCCATATATATTTGGACACAGGCACAATTTTAGTTTTTTTTCAGGTATTTACCAAAACATATTAACCACTTCAAGTCCGGACACTTTTACCCCCTTCCTGTCCAGGCCAATTTTCAGCTTTTAGTGCTATCACACTTTGAATGGCAATTGCGCGGTCATGCAACACTGTACCCATATGAATTTTTTAGCATTTTTTTGAGACAGATAAAGCTTTATTTTGGTGGTATTTATTCACCACTGGGATTATTATTTTTTTTTGCTATGTAAATGAAAATGTCCAAAAATTTTGAAAAAAAAAGTGTTTTTCGTATAACATTTCATCATAAATCTTGGCCAAAAGTAAAAAAAAAAAACAAACAGAAAAAAAAAAAAACAAAAAAAAAAAAAACCTAAAATTAGTTTATAACCAAAAATTATAATTTTTCAACATTTTTTTTTACATTTTTTTTATACAATCAAGAGAAGACTTCACAAGAGCAAATACAGAGGGTTCACCACAAGGTGCAAACCATTCATAAGCCTGAAGAATAGAAAAGCCAGATTAGACTTTGCCCAAAAAAATCTAAAAAAGCCAGACCAGTTCTGGAAAAGCATTCTTTGGACGGATGAAACTAAGATTAATCTGTACCAGAATGATGAGAAGAAAAAAGTGTGGAGATGCTTGGAACAGCTTATGATCCAAAGCACACAACATCATCTGTAAAACATGGTGGAGGCAGTGTGATGGCATGGGCATTGGTGTTTATTGATGATGTGACAGAAGATAGAAGATTTGCAGTTATTAGAGATATACTGCAGCCCAGATTCAGCCAAATACAGCAAAGTTGATTGGACGGCGCTTCACAGTACAGAGGGACAGGAGCATTTGAAGGAAAAGAAGTGGAATATTCTGCAATGGCCGAGTCAGTCACCTGATCTCAACCCAATTGAGCATGCATTTCTCTTGCTGAAGGCAAAACTAAAGGCAGAAAGACCCACAAAGAACAACTGAAGACAGCTGCAGTTAGAGCCTGGCAAAGCAGCCGAAAGGAGGAAACCCAGTCTTTGGTAATGTCCATGGGTTCCAGACTTCAGGCAGTCATTGCCTGTAAAGGATTCTCAACAAAATATTAAAAATGAACATTTTATTTATGATTATATTCATTTTTCCAATTACATTTGAGCCCCTGAAAATGGAGGGACTGTGTATAAAAATGGTTGCAGTTCCTAAACTTTGTACTTGATATTTATGTTCAACTCTTTGAATTAAAGCTGAAAGTCTGCACTGCAAATTCATTTGGATTGTTTTGTTTTATTTTTTCTGGTGGCATACAGAGCCAAAAGTATGAAAATTGTGCCTGTGACCAAATATATATTGTGTGTTTGTATGTATACATATATATATATATATATATATATATATATACACACACACACACACACACACACACAGTTGCAAGAAAAAGTATGTGAACCCCTTGGGATTACGTGGAGTTTTGCATGAATTGGGTATAAAATGTGCTCTGAACGTCATCTAAGTCACAACAATAGAAGAACACAGTCTGCTGAACATAATACTACACAAACATTAGATGTTGCCATGGTTTAATTGCACATAACATGTAAACATTCACAGTGCAGGGAGGAAAAAGTATGTGAACCTTTGGACTTAACTGGTTGACCCTCCTTTGGCAGCAATAACCTCAAACATTTCCTGTAGTTGCAGATCAGACCTGCACAACGGTCTGGAGTAATTTTGGACCACTCCTCTTCACAAAACTGTTTCAGTGTAGCAATATTCTTGGGATGTCTGGTGTGAATCGCTCTCTTAAGGTCATGCCACAGCATTTCAATCGGGTTGAGGTCAGGGCTCTGACTGGGCCACTCCAGAAGCCGTATTCTGTGCTGTTGCAGCCATTGTTTTGTTGAATTACTTGTATGCTTTGGGTCATTGTCCTGTTGCATCACCCATCCTCTGCGGAGCTTCAGTTGGCGGACAGATGGACGTACGTTTTCCTGCAAAATGTCTTGATAAACTCTGGAATTCATTTTCCCATCGATGACAACAATCCGTCCAGGCCCTGAGGCAGCAAAGCAGCCCCAAACCATGATGCTCCCTCCACCATGTTTTACAGTGGGGATGAGGTTTTGATGTTGGTGTGCTGTGCCTTTTTTTTCTCCACACATAGTGTTGTGTGTTCTTCCCAAACAACTCAATCTTGGTTTCATCTGTCCACAGTATATTTTGCCAGTAGTGCTGTGGAACATCCAGGTGCTGTTTTGCAAACATCAAACGTGCTGCAATATTATTTTTGGACAGCAATGGCTTCCTCCGTGGTGTCCTCCCATGTACTCCATTCTTGTTTAAGGTTTTCCTTATTGTAGATGTGTCAACAAAAATGTTAGCATGTGCCAGAGATTTTTGTAGGTCTTTAGCTGACACTCTGGGATTCTTCTTTACCTCATGCAGCATTCTGCGCTGTGCTCTTGCAGTCATTTTTACAGGACGGCCACGCCTAGGGAGAGTAGCAACAGTGCTAAACGTTCTCCATTTGTAGACAGTCTGTCTTACCGTGGACACATGAACATCAAGGCTTTTGGAGATACTTTTGTAACCCTTTCCAGCTTCATGCAAGTCAACAATTCTTGATCATAGGTCTTCTGAGAGCTCTTTTCTGCGAGGTTTCTGTAGGTTCACATCAGACAGTGCTTCTTGAAACCAGTAAACCCAAAACAGTGTGTGTGTTTTTTAAGGGCAGGACAGCTGTCAGCAACACATCCAATATCACACTGATTGGAGTCAAGGTTGGCTCACTCCTGGCTCCAATTAGCTCTGGGAGAAGTCATTAAGCTAGGGCCTCACATACTTTTTCCTCCCTGCACTGAGAATATTTACATGTTATGTGCAATTAAACCATGGCAACATCTAATGTTTGTGTAGTATTATGTTCAGCAGACTGTGTTCTTCTATTGTTGTGACTTAGATGACGTTCAGAGCACATTTTATGCCCAATTCATGCAAAACTCCACGTAATCCCAAGGGGTTCACATACTTTTTCTTGCAAATATATATATATATATATATATATATATATATATATACACACACACATATATACACACACACACACACACACACACAGTATACATTCACACACGAGGGGTGTTCAAGTCAAATTTCAAGGGGTGGAAGCTTCAGAATAGAAAAGTTTGTCAGTACGCCTGAAACATCCTAGTACATTCGTGAATTATTGTGTTTACCATTCCCAAAGAAAGATTTGTTTCTTGTGCAATTTCACGACAGGTTATGTGCTAATTATCCTAGATCAGACATTCTAGGTGCTTAATGTTCACAGAAATGACTGCTGTGGGCTGGGAACAACCATGTGGGGACCATCACTGATGGATGTATGGCCATCTTTGAAATGTTTACACCATTCAAATGTCTTACTGCTGCAGCTGAGCCTCTTATCACTATACTGGGCTTGAAGTCTTCTGTAGATAGCCGCAGGATTTATGCCTTCATTCAAAAGAAACTTCCTTGCCACACTCTGTTCCATGCAAGCACTAACATTGTTGTCTGCCATCTTGATTAACAGTCTCTGGACTGGCCAGCAAAATGTGCACCGCCTATCAATAACAGGACACACTTGCCACCTACTAGTACTGCCACGCTAGCTTCCCTTTTTATACCTGTAAAATTAAAAGGTGTGTGTGTGTGTACACTGCTCACAAAAATTAAAGGACCGCTTTTTAATTAGAGTACAGCATCAAATCAATTAAACTCCTGGGATATTGATCTTGTCAGTTAAGTAACAGAGGGGGTTGTTAATCAGTTTCAGCTGCTTTGGTGTTAATGAAATTAACAATAGGTGCACTAGATGAGCAACAATGAGACAATCTCCAAAACAGGAATGGTTTTACAGGTGGAGGCCACGGACTTTTTTCTCCCTACTCATCTTTTCTGACTGTTTTTCACTAGTTTTGCATTTGGCTAGGGATAGCCGAGTCCAACTCCTCCAGGATGGCACATCAATATGTGCCATTGTCAGAAGGTTTGCTGTCGGTCAGGAATGGACTCACCATTAGTGGTGGGACTCATCTGCCGTGTGGACTGCAGTACCAGGGCTGGCCAGCGGGTGTTCTCAGCAACCAGAAGCTCACTCCTGCAGTCAGCCATCACCTGAGGCTGATTGCAGGAGGTGTATTTAAGGAATGGCCAGACCTGCAGTCAGTGTCTTGGTGTATGTTTCCCATGAGCCCCTGTACCTGCATCCTGTCTGCTTCCTGCCTGATTCTGACTCTGCTTTGATCCCGACTCTGAACGAACTCCGCCTGTCCTGACCTCGGCTATTCCTGACTACTCTTCCGCTCGCTCCTGGTACCGTTTGCTACCGACCCGGCCTGCCCGACTACATTTGATTGTATATATGGTTATCTGTTGGGTGTGGGTTGTTTGCACTGTGTTATGTTTACCTTGCACTGCGTTTGTGTTGTTTAGTCTTTAATAAATGGTCTTGTTTACTCTATACCTGAAGCCTGCGTTTCCCTGTGTCAGTCCACACACCTCTGGTCATACCCGGAGCCCTGACACTGTCTCCCAGCACAGTCTCAAAAGCATGGAGGAGATTCTATGAGACAGGCAGTTATTCTAGGAATGCTGGAGAGGGCCGTAGAAGGTCCTTAACCCATCAGCAGGACAGGTATCTGCTCCTTTGTTCAAGGAGGAACAGGATGAGCACTACCAAAGCCCTACAAAATGACCTCCAGCAGGCCACTGGTGCGAATGTCTCTGACCAAACAATCAGAAACAGACTTCATGAAGGTGGCCTGAAGGCCCGGCGTCCACAAGTGGGCACTGTGCACACTGCCCAGCACCATAGAGCGTGATTGGCATTTGCCACTAAATATCAGAATTTGCAGGTCAACCACTGGCACCCTGTGCTTTTCACAGATGAGAGCAGGTTCACCCTGAGCAAATGTGAAAGATGTGAAAGGATTTGGAGAAGTCTTGGAGAACATTATGCTGTCTGTAACATTGTTCAGCATGACCATTTTGGTGGTGGGTCTGTGATTGTCTGGGGAGGCATATCCATGGAGGGATGCACAGACTTCTACAGGCTAGACAATGGCACCCTGACTGCCATTAGATATCGGGATCAAATCCTTGGACCCACTGTCAAACCCTACGCTGGGTTCCTACTGGTGCATGACAATGCCCGGCCTTATGTGGCTAAAGTATTCAGATCCTGGAGGATGAAAGGGTTGATACCATTGAACGGCCTCCACATTCGCCTGACCTAAATCCAATAGATCACCTCTGGGATATCATGTTTTGTTCGATCCGACGCCACCAGATTGTACCTCAGACTGTCCAGGATTTCAGTTACAGTGAAGGAAATAAGTATTTGATCCCCCGCTGATTTTGAATGTTTGCCCACTCAAAGAAATGATCAGTCTAAAAATTTAATGGCAGGTTTATTGTAACACTGAGAGACAGAATAGTAACACAAAATTCAAAAGAAATGCATGTCTAACAAATTATGCACTGATTTGCATGTTCATGAGAGAAATAAGTATTTGATCCCCTGCACAAAGCATGATTTAGGACTTGGTGGCGAAACCCTTGTTGGCAATCACAGAGGTCAGACGTTTCCTGTAGTTGGCCACCAGGTTTTGCACACATCTCAGGAGGGATTTTGGCCCAAAGCACCTTCTCCCTTGATGGGGACAAGGGTCTCTTTCCCACAACCCTGGCCGGTGGTTGTGGGGGTCTATGGGCAGGGGGCTTATCGGAGTCTGGAAGCCCCCTTTGTTGAGTTATTTTATTTAAGTCATGCAGTATTTTAGTAGTGGCAACCATGTGTTAATGTTTCAGCTGTGAGTGGGGTTCCCCACTGACAGCTGAATGTAAAAGAATTGCCAGCAATTAAAAGAATTATTAAAAAAATAACAAAAATGGCGTGGTGTTCCCCCTCTCATCCACACCAAGCCCTTCATGTCTGGTATGGATTTTAAATGGCGTGGGTGTCCCCCCCCCAAAATCCATACCACACCCTTATCTGAGAATGTAGCACGACAGGTCAGGAAAGAGGGAGGAGGGAAAAGCGAGCGCCTGCCCCTCCTCCTGGACCACCCCAGGCCACATGCCCTCAACATGTGGGGATGTTTTGGGGCTGGGGGGTTGTCGCCGTTACCCCAAAAAAAGAAAAAGGTTCCATTCCCGACGATGGCTTCCACCACCCTTCTTCATGCTCCAGTGGTTTGGTGGTTCTTAAATATGTAAGGGGCGGGGCCACCTGGGGACATCACACATGTGACCCCATTCCATGTGACATCAATGATCATTGATGTCACATGGGATGGGGTCACATGTGTGATGTCCCCAGGTGGCCCCGCCCCTTACATATTTAAGAACCGCCAAACCACTGGAGCATGAAGAAGGCTGGTGGAAGCATCGTCGGGAATGGAACCTTTTCTTTTTTTGGGGTGGTGGCGGGCATCGTAATTGAAGTTGGATCTACTACGGGGGACATTCTTTTAGTTTTTTCTTTTAATAAAGAACTTATAAAGGACTGTGTCCTGTCTTTTTTCACACTATACTATTTGTTTTTTGTGAATGAGTAGCGGTACCATGTACCCCATACTCATTCACAAAGGGGGGGGCCGGGATCTGGGGGCCCCCTTGTTAAAGGGGGCTTCCAGATTCCGATAAGCCCCCTGCCCGCAGACCCCCACAACCACCGGCCAGGGTTGTTGGGAAGAGGCCCTTGTCCCCATCAACATGGGGCAAGGTGCTTTGGGTGGGGAGCCCCCCTGCCCCAAAGCATCCCCCCATGTTGAGGGCATGTGGCCTAGTATGGTTCAGGAGGGGGGGGGGGCGCTCGCTCGTCCCCCCCCCCCCATTTTCTGACCTGCCGGGCTGCATGCTTGGATAAGGGTGTGGTATGGATTTTGGGGGGGAACGCCCACGCCATTTTTTAAAAAATTTTGGCGTGGGAGTTCCCTTCAAAATCCATACCAAACCCAAAGGGCTTGGTATGGATGGGAGTGGGAACCGCACGCGTTTTTTAAATAATTTTTTTAATTGCCGGCGAATCTTTTACATTCAGCTGTCAGTGGGGTACCCTGCTGACAGCTGAAACATTAACACATGGTTGTCACTACTAAAATACCACATGACATAATAAAATAACTCATGCGGTATTTTAGTAGTATTTACTTTTTTCTGACCTCTGGAACAGATTAATTGGTTTTCAATGCACTCCTATGGGAAACAGTGTTTCGGTTTATGAATTTTTCGCTATCTGAAAAGTCCTGAAGAACGAATTAAATTCGTAAACCGAGGTATTACTGTATATATATATATACACACACACATACACACACACACACACACACACATATGCATATATATACACACACACATACACTAAAAAAACGCTGTTACACCAGAGATTAATGCAAATCCCTTTAAAAACAACCTGCTATTAGACAGATATACCTGTCAAAATGGTAACAGTCTCTATAACTGTCACAGCTCAGGAACAATTATTATAGTACACTGAACAGTGTTAACGTTTTACCAAACCTATATTTAACTACTGTTGCATTTGGTATTCGCTATATAATTAAATGTCAAATATCTGAAAACGTACCATAGTGAGATGGATTCTTCAGTGTCCTGACATATAAAAATGTTGAGCGGATCCACTCCAAAGCAATGTTAACATCTGTGATTGTATGTAGTGTTATTTCTGCATTCAGATGTTCAACAAGATGTCTGTGCAGGCTGATACAAGTGGAGATAAAAATTACTGTTTCCAATGTCCATTAAAAGTATACCCAGATATTTTTGCAACTACATGCTATGAGTTCAACATGTTTGATTTATTTTGTTCTCTTCGAGTTCTATTGATGTTATACATACAGTATCTACTTGAACTCTTTCAGAATGTATCAAAAGATATAAATTTAATTTAGGTTAGTCATGTTTTAATTTTTTTCTGATTATGAAAGAGGTTTTATCATAGACATTTCCCATATTTAAAGTAGTACTAAACCCAAAAGCAAACATTTATTATATTGCAGCTTACTAAATCTTAGATGTGATCGCTGTATTAGTTTCCTTTTTTTAGGCTTTCTCTATTTTCACCTGGTGATTCAGCCAGAAATTCTGCTGTTCAAGCCCTCCAACAGAATGCATCAGTTTAAATGGATGAGACTATCCATTTACCACTGGTAGGGGTGATTAAAGTGATCAGCTTTTATATATTCATGTAAAACCTTTATCCCAAAAAGAAAAACGTGTGTTGTAACTGTTCATAAAGTTTGAGCTGTAGTGTGGCTTCAATTTGGTATTTGTATTCAAGTCTGCTAATACATTTAACACTCCCATCTCCCCCAGACTGACAATGCTGCTGTATGCTGTGTCCTATGCTCATTCCTCCAAAGTGGGTGCCTCACTAATACAGGAAGGGTGTTACTGGCCAGATCACCAGATGAAAACAGAGGGGAAAAAAGCCAAAGAAAAAAAAAACTGATGCAGCCACATCTAATGATTGGTAATCTGCAATAAAATACGTTTAGTTTAAATAATATGCAGTGTTGTCAAAGCTACATTACTAGGGTAAAAGATGTCCCCCAGCTTAGTGCCCCCATAGCAAGCCGCTTGCTCCACTGACACCCACAGTGCAGCTTGGCTCAGCCCCTGCTCTCTCCTCACTGTCTGTGATTGACAGCAGCAGGAGCCTGCAGCTTTTGAGCCAGTGAGGAAAGAGAGAGCAGTGATTCATAGCACTAGATCAGTGAATATAAGGGGGGTGGTATGGAGGGGGGAAGCTGCACATAGAAGGTTTTTTCAACTTAATGAATAGAATGCATTAAGGTAAGAAACCTTCTGTCTTTAGAACCACTTTAATACTGTCTATGACAGGATTTTATATAAACCTTCAGCATGGGGGGGGGGGGGGGGGGGGGGGCAGCTGGTGTGGTCACCCTGGGTGCAAATTCCAGAGGGGCGCAGTCAGGGAAATCTCCCCAGTGGGGAGATTGCTTTAGATCCTAATATACAGTGGTTGTGCCCTGCAGTTCCTCCACTGCAACTGCCAGGTGTCGCTGTTGTGCGTGGACACACACCCTGCCTTCTCGATCTACAGATTGGCTGTCCAATGTTATCCTATTGGAAGAGTCAGGCGCTGGGCATGTCCCTGTGTCAGTGAGAAGCGGTTGCCCAGTCTGTCTGCTCACTCTTTGCCATGCTTGATTATTGCATGTCCCGGGTGGTGGAGGCCGCTGTGCTGGTGGCGGTGATCGGGGTCCTGCTGGCTCTGATCTGACAATGGCCGAGTACATCGTACAACTTCTCCCAGTAGGAGATCTTCGCCTTGATCCGGGGAACACAAAGATAATCAAACCCCCAACTGGTCTTTCTGCAGCCTGGTCACATATTTGGGGTATCTGCTGAGGAAAGGTGGGTGAGGAGCCCTAGAGTGGTCAGAGGGGCCCCTGGATGGTTTGATGAGGAGGGGACCCCAGGATAGTTGGTAGAAGAGAAGGCCCCTGGGTGGTTGGGATAGAAGGAGTGGGCCCCAGATTGGTCAGCAGTGGAAGAGCAGGCCCTTGGGTGGTTGGAGGAGGAGGGGGCCCTGGGTAGTCCCAGGTTAGGAGGAGAGGGCCCTGGGTTGGTTGGTGGAGTAGGAGGGTCCTCCAGATGGTTGTTGGAGAAGGCAGAGGTGAACTGATCAGGGGGACAATTGCCACCTAGGTCGCTCTGATGTCCCATAAAAAAGGCTGCACCACTGTACCCACTCAGCCTTTACTTGCTAAAGACCCAGCCCCACCCCTCTAATGACACCAGAGCCGGTTGCCTAGGAAGAGAGTGGAGCAGAGCCAGTCCTGCATGTCTGAGCCAGACGTGGTGGAGCTGGCGCCCTTCGCCCTACACAGTGACTGAACCGAGAGGTGTCCAGGAACAGCACAGCCAAACTGCCCAGCTCCCCGGAGGGCACGGATCTGGCCTATGGCAGTCTGCTGGGGATGCCTCTGCTCCCCATCTTCTTCGGGTCCATGAGGAGTGTCAGCTGTGCCCAGGGGAAGGTGAGGGGTTAGAGGGGGCTCTGACATTATATAGAGTAAGGACTCTCTGTATATTATTAGTAGTTTTGGTTGAGTTCTCCTTTAGATGTTTAACCCTGTGTTTGTCCCCCCAGCTGCGGGGGACTGAGGAATGACAACCTACTATGCTGGGATTTGTAGTGCCGTAGACTGTGGTGGACTGAGGAATCCTCAGTCCCCCACACAGGCACTACAAGTCCCAACATAGCAGGTTGCCATGCCTCAGTAACCCACAGAGGGCACTACAAGTCCCAACATAGTGGGCTGTCATTACTCTGTCCCCTAAAGAGGGCACTACAAGTCTAAGCATAGCAGGCTTCCATTCCTCAATGAAGAATCGCAGCCCACTATACTGAGACTTACAGTGCCCTCTGGGGGGACTGAGGTATGGCAGCCTGCTATGCTAGGACTTGTAGTGACCTAGACTGTGGGGGACTGAGGAATGGAAGTATAATGGTGACTCTGGAAATTCTAATGCAAGGGGGAGCTCTGGTGACCACAGAATTCCCTGTTACACCAGTTCACATCACTCCCCCTTAAATCAGGATTCCCAGAACTCCCCTTACATCACAGTCCCCAGCATTCCTCACAGTTTAAAGGGGAACTCTGGAGACTCTGATGTTAAGGGATTCTACAAACCCTGATTTAAGGGGGGCTCTGCTGCGAACCCTGATTTAAGAGGTGGACTCTAATGTTAAAACGAATTCTGTGGACTCTTGATGTAAAGGGAAACTCTTATGTTTATTTGCTGAGGGCAGGATAGGCTTCCCTGAAGAGATAGGTTTTCAGAGATCGCCTAAAAGTGAGCAGAGTAGGCGATAGTCTGATAAATTGGGGTAGAGCGTTCCAGAGGATGGAGGAAGCTCTGGAGAAGTCCTGGAGACAAATATGGGAGGAAGAGACAAGGGAGCTAGAGAGCAGGAGTTTGTGCGAGGAGCAGAGAGTACAGTTTGGGTGATATTTGGAGACAAGATTGATGATGTAATTTGGGCAGTTATAAATGGCTTTATATGTTAGTGTAATGTTTTGAATTTTATCCGTTGGGCAATGGGAAGCCAGTGGAGGGATTGGCAGAGAGGGGTGGCAGATATGGAACGGTTCGTAAGGTGGATGAGTCTGGCAGCAGCATTCATGATAGACTGAAGAGGTAGGCTAATGAGGGAGTTACGATAGTCAAGGCGAGAGATAACAAGGGAGTGAATAAGTTGCTTAGTAGTTTCCGAGGTTAAGAATGGGCGTATCTTGGAAATATTGCGGAGGTGAAGTCTACAAAATTTGGACAGTGATTGGATTTGGAGCTGAAAAGTCAGATGGGAGTCTAAGATCACACCTAGCACCCTGGCATGAGGGGAGGGACTGATGGTTGCGTTTTTGATCTTGATGGAGAAGTTGAGGGATGGGGCACGGGCTGAAGGGAATACTAAGAGCTTAGTTTTGGAAAGATTGAGTTTGAGGAAGTGGAGTGACAGCCATGCCAATATGTCACTTAGTAGGTTAGTAATGCGAGAGGAGACTGAAGGGGTGAGGTGAGGAGTAGAAAGATAGATTTGTGTGTCATCAGCATAGAAATGGTACTTAAAGCCATGGGAGTTTATCAAGTGACCAAGGGAGGAGGTGTAGATGGAGAAGAGTAGGGGTCCAAGGACAGAACCTTGAGGGACCCCTACAGAAAGAGGGAGTGGAGAGGAGGAGACAGAGTTATAGGTAACGCTGACGGAGTGCTGAGATAGGTAGGAGGAGAACCAGGAGCAGAGTCTCGGAGGCCAAGAGTGGAGTTTTTTTGAAGAGGAGGGGATGGTCAACAGTATCAAAAGCCGCAGAGAGGTCAAGTAGTAAGAGTACTGAGTAGTGGCCATTGGTTTTAGCAGTTAGTAGATCATTATTGAGTTTTAGTAGGGCAGTTTCAGTGGAGTGAAGTGAGCGAAAGCCAGACTGTAAAGGGTCAAGAAGGTTGTTGTCAGTGAGGTAGGAGCTCAGGAGATTGTAGACTAAGTGTTCTAAGAGTTTAGATGTAAATTGGAGCAGGGAGATGGGTCTTAAGTTGTTCAGGTTGGTGGGGTCCAGGGAGGGCTTTTTAAGTATGGGAGTGATGTATGCATTCTTTAGAGGGGTTAGAGGGGTGGGGAAGGCACTGTTAGAGAAGGAGAGATTGAAGATGTGAGTGAGGGAGAATAGGATAGAAGAAGAGGGTGACCGTAGTAGTTGTGAGGGGAGATGATCAAAGTTAGACAGTCTTTGTGACCTCTTCAGTAGTAGCAAGGTCAAAAGAGGAAAGTGTTGAGGGAGGTTTAGTATAAGATATGCTAAGTGGGATGGATGTCTGTGCAGTGGAGATGCCCCTACGAATTGCATCAATCTTGTTTTTTAAATGATTTGCAATCTCGTAAGCAGTGAGTGAGGTACTGGGTTAAGATGGAGGTGGAGAAAGTAGAGAGTTAAAAGTAGAGACGAGACGATGAGGACTGGATGACAAGCTATTGATGAGAGTGACAAAGTAGGCTTGTCTGGCAGCATGGAGGGAGGAATTGTATGTTAAGAAAGCAGATTTGTAAAGGGTGAAAGCTTTTTGTGATTTGGTTTTATGCCACATTCGCTCCAGCGCACGACTATGTCGCTTAATATATCTGGTGTCGTCAGTCCGCCAAGGTTGTAATGGTTTGGGCCTGATGCTTTGTGTGGTTAGAGGAGCAAGTGAGTTTAATGTGGATGAAAGTGAACTGTTGTAGAAAGCAGTGGCCAGGTCAGGGCAGGACAGGGGAGAGATTCTGTCAGATGCGGTCAGTTGCAGAGTAGAAAAGAGAAGGGTTAAAGTTGTGAAGGTTTCTGCAGGTAATTATTTGCTGCTTTGAGTAGGTGTTTGAAGACGAGGACACTGTGAAGGTGATGAGATAGCGATCAGAGAGAGGAAAGGGGGTGTTTGTGAGGTTGTAGGGAGTGCAACGATGGGAGAAAATGTATTCCCATCAGAGTGAACGGAGGATTGTGTCTATTGTGTTAAGGCAAAAGATGAGGTTAGGTTGAAGAGTTGGGATGTAGCCAGGTTGTTCACATTAATGGGGATGTTAAAATCTTCAAGAATGATAGTGGGTAGTTCAGTGGAGAGAAATTAGGGTAGCCAGGCAGAGAAATCAAGAAAGCGAGACACCGGTCTAGGAAGCCGATAGATCACTGCAATCCTCAGAGAAATGGGAGAAAACAGCCGAATGCAGTGAGTCTTGAAAGAAGAGAAGTATAGAGAGGGAGGGTTATGGAGGACTTGAAAGGTGCTCAGTGGGGATAGAAGCAAACCAACTCCACCTCCTTTCTGACCACTGGGTCTGGGTGAGTGGGTCCAGAGAAGGCCTCCATAGGAAAGTGCTGCGGGAGAAGAAGAATTTGCTGCTTGAAGTAGGGTTTCTGTAATTGCTAGTAGGTTAAGAGAGCAGGAGACAAAAAGGTCATGGACGGAGGTGAGCTTATTACAGACAGAGCGGGCATTCCAGAGTGCACATGAAAAAGGGAGGGTGGTTTTTAGGAGCACAGTGATTGATATTAAATCGAGCGGATTGCAGCTATTCCCGTAGGAAAGAGGGTGCCTGGTGTGGGGGTGAGATAGTGGAGGATCAGGGTTTGGGGAGATATACCCAGAGGTTAGGAGAAGGAGGATGTGAACAGAAGGTTCATCCTGATTGCTGCACTCTATCTGCTGTTTTGTAGGTTAATTACTTCTGAACCCTGCACTCTATACATTATGTTGTACATTACATAGTCCACGGGTCAGAGGGCGTAAATTACTTGCCTTGCCCCGGGTGCTGACAACCCACATTACGCCACTGGTTCTGACCTGCTGCTTGCTTGTTTCAGGTCAATAGCTCAAAGAGAATGCCACAATAAGACTAACAGCATAAAAAACAAGTATGTAAAATAGAGCTATCAAAAACAGCCAAATATAATTAAGTTCTAAAAAAATACAAAAATAATCTATAGTATTCTAAATTTAGTTGGTTCTAACAAGATAGAGCAGTTTGCACAGTTCCATTTATTTGTGCTTTACATTATTAAATACATATTTCAATGAGTTGAAAACAAGGCAAGTGACGCTAAAAAGTTAATTTTGTGCTTCTACTTGTCCAGCACAGTTTAGTTTTATCACAAGAGCAAAATTATGGGAGGAGATAACGGGTGTATAGAGAAAAGAATAAGGAGCCATGAGTAGAAAACTCTTGATCAAATGTAGGAAGGCAGCAGTAAGAGATGAGACTATTGGCAGTGTGCAGTGCCAGCATTGCATGAGCCAACTCATTTGCTTCTTGCCAATATAAAACAGATCAGATCTGCTTTGTTATCATTTGGATATCATGATCCTTTAAAACCTAAGTGCAGCCAAAAAATCAACACAATTGAAATAACTTAGTCAGTAGGATGTGTTTCTTTTCCCGATGCCTCTTCAATTAGGGGAATTTCTCCTCAAGCCATGCCCACCACCCCCACAATCACACAGTGCATTAGGGGTTAGTAGAACTAAGGGGCTGTCATAGTCTCTCATCAAGAAAGCTTGACTATGCTTGCCCTTTCAACCCAGCTGCTCCATTCACAGAAGCTGTACTTCAGCTTCTGTGAATGAAACAGTATGAACTATGAATTGAGGGGCATCCCTTTCAATGATTCATCCATCATCCTGTAGTACAGATTCTATGAATAGAGCAGCTGGGTGGAAAGGGTGGGTACAATCTGGGTCTCTTGATGAGAGCTTGTGACAGCCCTTAAGGTCTATTAATCCCCAATGCACTGGAAGATTATGACATGGACAGAGGAGGATTTCACCTAAAAGAAAAGGCATCAGCACAGGGGACACATCCATCTGACTGTAAGTTATGTCCCTTGTGCTGATTTTTCTGTTTTTTTTTGTTTGTTTGTTTTTTTTATTTTGGCTGAACTTAAGCTTTACCTCTAATAAACTCCTCAAATCAAAGCAATTGTAGTGTCTGGTAGTAGTGTAATTAACAAGATAATCACTGACCTGCTTTCAATGGTGTCTGCACCGTCCAACATTTGCATATATTTCTCCTTAGTGCTTAACCTTGTCATGATAACAGCTGTGGCTGTAGAATCAAACTGAGGTAGATAAAAATTATTGTTAATGTATATCATACTATTCAAGGTACCGGTGTAGATTTGGTAATCATGAACATCACAAAGATAAGAAATTACTGGCTGAATCTAGCCTTCCACATACTCAGTTAGTAAAAGCAGTTATGACTGTTCAAAAAATGAAGACGAGATCCCATAGAACTATGCTGTTTTTTTTCTTAGTTTTGGATCAAATGGGGAAGGGATAGAGCCCCTATCAGGTTTTTACTGCTATCTAGGCCTTCATTCGTTAGATTCACCCTAATTTCCTTCACTGCTGATAATGTTTAACCAGACAGGAAGTCTAGGAAACTCTTTAACAGCAACACAGACAAAAATAAAAATGCTTTTAGTAGAGTTTGGGAAGGCTAAATCCTCTGAAAACCTTTTATTTCTAATTCTGTGCCTATTGCAGATTTTCCCTCACTTTCTGTGTGGTAAAAGAGGTGTCCGCGGATTGCAGTAAACACATGAGTTTTAATTCCTCCCCATTCTATCCAAAAGTTAAAAAAAAAAGAAAAAGTTTTGGCATACAATTGTAGCACTCTCTAGTGCGCTACTAGAATAGTGTACGCAAATCTATTGTGTATGACTCATAGTAACTGTGTGAGTCTGTGATTAAGTTGAGTTACTGGAGGTCAAGCTGCATGGCTTAACAGGTTGGGGCTCTATCGCCTCCACCTGGTTCTGGAGGGCCAATGGATTCTTCCAGAAGTCAAAGGGCAGAAGAGATGGAGACCTAATCTTTAGGTTTTGGGAGTCTAACCAATCTCAAGTTTGGAGACCCTGGTAGAATAGTGGACCAGCCCATAAATATGGGATAGTCAGGTGGAAGATGGAGTGCTGAGGAGATTGTCAGTGGCCTGGGAGGGGTCCCCTGGGTCTAGCGGGAATGGCCTCTGGTCTGGGCTCAGACGGGCTCAGGAGGATTCATTCAGCAGTGCAGAATTATCAAGATCAAGGCTTAGGAGCAGTGGGAGAAAGGAGGAAAAAGTGAGTACATCAGCACACCCATGGATTCACAAGGGGAGAGACTGCCACATGTAGCAAGCTTTCAAAGGATATCCTTTACCCAGGGAGAGCAGCCAAGAGGGCTGGTACTGTCTGCAGGCTGTGGAACTGGGAGCAGTTCTGCAGGGGAGATGAGACATCTCTGTATGTAGTTTACAAAAAGCCAACTTGATTTTAGAGGCGCTGCCAGTTTCTTGCCCGTAAGTGGCTGTTGCTACTGATCTGCAAAGGCTGACAGCTTTCAAGGAAAAGAACAGTCCAGGATTTGTTTCTGTAAAAAGGAAGGATGTTGTCTCCTTGCATTGATTCAGTGAAATTGGGCATCCCATAATCCCGATTACCCTATCCAACTTATTTCCCCTAATAAAAGAACAAAAACCAAGCTCACGGACTGCTCACTGACTGTGGATGCAAGTGTGGAAAATGTGTGTTGCCTGCTGTGCAGAGCTTAGGGGTACCTAGAAACACAGCAGCCTTCACAAGGGTAGCACTATACAATAAAGAATTACATACAATTTAAATAATGTAAAACCTGAATGTTTACTAGTCAGATATGGAACATAGAAAAATAGTAACATAGTAAAATCAGAGTTTCATGTTCAAATACTCATAGCTACCTGTGAAGAGAAACAAAAAAGTTACTAGGGCGCAGGATTAGTAAACATTTATTTGAAAACAATAATCCACACTTACATCTGTACCATGGATGTGCAGCTCCTTGCACAGAGGGAGATGGTACATACACAGCAGTTAACGACAGAGTTGCTGGATCAGTAGTCAGTACGACAAGGAACAGAGAGCAAGACCCACCAAAAACAAGCGGTGGTGTCTCATGACTGTCCTCTATACTCTCAACAGTGTAAAAGTAAACAGTGCGAGTGAACAGCACGAGCCGCAGGAGAAGCCAGCATAACACTGAGACATGTTGATGCAGAGTACAGTGGATACAAAAAGTCTACACAACCCTGTCACAATGTTAGGTTTGGATGAAAAAAAATGAGACAAAGATGAATCATTTCAGAACTTTTAAAATACTAAAAGAATATGGTTGCATAAGTGTGCACACCCTTACACTAATACTTTGTTGAAGCACCTTTTGATTTTCTTATAGCACTCAGTCTTTTTGGGTATGAGTCTACAGCATGGGACATCTTAAATTTGCAATACTTTTCCTTGCAAAAACACTCCAAATTTGTCAGATTGCGAGAGCATCTCCTGTGCACAACTCTCTTCTTCAGATCACCCAACAGATTTTCTTCTGGTGAAGCCATTCCTTTGTTGATTTGGATGTATGCTATGGGTCATTGTCATGCTGAAAGATGAAGTTCCTCTTCATGTTCAGCTTTCTAGCAGAAGCCTGAAGGTTTTGTGCTAATATTGACTGGTATTTGTAACTGTTCATAATTCCCTCTACCTTGACTAATGCCCCAGTTCCAGCTGAAGAAAAACAGCCCCAAAGCATGATGCTGCCATCACCATGCATCACTGTGGGTATGGTGTTCTTTTGGTGATTGGCAGTGTTGTTTTTGTGCCAAACATATCTTTTGGAATTATGACTAAAAAGTTCAACCTTGGTTTTATTAGACCATAACACATTTTCTCACATGCTTTTGGGAGACTTCAGATGTGTTTTTGCAAAATTTAGCCGGCTTGAATGTTTTTCTTCGTAAGAAAAGGCTTCCGTCTTGCCACTCTACTCCATAGCCCAGACATATGAAGAATACAGGAGATTGTTGTCACATGTACCACACAGCCAGTATTTTCCAGATACTCCTGCAGCTCCTTTAATCGCTTCCGCGCTGTCCTATATCAAAAATACAGCTACAGGGCGGCACAGGTGCGCAAAATCATATATATATATATATATATATATATATATATATATATATATATACACACACACACACACACATATATATATATATTATATATATATATATATACACACGCACACACATATGTACATATACATGCACACACATATATACATATACACACACACACACACACACACACACACACACACACACACACACACACACACACAGTTGTGTTCAAAATAATAGCAGTGTGTTGAAAAAAGTGAACAAAGCTTAAAATCCTTCTAATATCTTTTATTTCCATACACACAAATGCATTGGGAACACTACACATTCTATTCCAAATCAAAACATGAAGAAAAATATATCAAATTTGTGTTGTTCCTCTAAAAAAATTGAAGAAACGTGAATATTAGACTGTTCAAAAAAATAGCAGTGTTTGTATTCTTCTTTACAAACTCAAACACTCACTATATAAAACTGAAAAATGTTTGAAGATTTTGCTTTTCTTTGAATCACTTAATATTTAGTTGTATAACCACTGTTTCTGAGAACTGCTGTACATCTGTGTTGCATGAAGTCAACCAACTTCTGGCACCTGTGAACATTCCACAGTTCTTCTCTATTTCTTGGTTTTGCCTCAGAAACTGCATTTTTGATGTCACCCCACAAGTTTTCTATTGGATTAAGATCCAGGGATTGGGCTGGCCACTCCATAACGTCAATCTTGTTGGTCTGGAACCAAGATGTTGCACGTTTCTTGGTGTGTTTGGGGTCGTTGTCTTTTTGGAACACCCATTTCAAGGGCATTTCCTCTTCAGCATAAAGCAGCATGAGCTCTTCAAGTATTCTGATGTATTCAAACTGATCAATGATCTCTGGTATGCGATAAATAGGCCCAACACCGTAGTAAGAGAAACATCCCCATATCATGATGCTTGCGCAACCATGCTTCACTGTCTTCACAGTGTACTGTGGCTTGAATTCAGTGTTTGGGGGTCGTCTGACAAAATGTCTCCGGCCACTAGACCCAAAAAGAACAATCTTACTTTCATCAGTCCACAGAATGTTGCGCCATTTCTCTTTAGGCCAGTCAATGTGCTCTTTGGCAAATTGTAACCTCTTCAGCACGTCTTTTTTTTCAACAGTGGGACTTTGCGGGGGCTTCTTGCAGATAGCTTGGCTTCACATAGGTGTCTTCTAATTGTAACAGTACTCACAGGTAACTTTAGACCTTCTTTTATCTTCCTGGAGCTGATTGTTGGCTGAGTCCTTGCCATTTTGGCTATTCTTCTATCCATTCGAATGGTAGTTTTTCACTTTCTTCCACGTCTTTCAGGTTTTGGTTGCCATTTTAAAGCATTTGCGATCATTTTAGCTGAGCGGCCTATCATTTTCTGTACTTCTTTATATGTTTTCCCCTCCAATCAACTTTTTAATCAAGGTACGCTGGTCTTCTGAACAATGTCTGGAACGACCCATTTTCCTCAGAATTTCAGAGAGAAATGCACTGTAACCAGCATATACAACATTTGCTGCCTTCCTTCCTTAAATAAGGACAATAATTGCCACCTGTTTTTCAAAGAATGAATGACCTCACTAATAGAACTCCACACTGCTATTATTTTGAACATGCCCCTTTCAATTAGTGATTCAATTACACAGAATCAGCAGCATGCATGTCATGACTGTTGGGTCTGTTGGATTTCTATTACTCTACTACACCTGCTAGTAAATTATCCCCCTTACACTGTAAAGAAAAACCCTGCAGACTCTGATGTATTGTAAAGGGGAATCCTGATGTAAAGGGGGCTCTGGGAATGCTGGGAACTCTGATATAAGGAAGGACTCTAACGTAAGGAGGGACTCTGTTAAGGGCCCTGGGATCAGTGGGAAGGGCCCCGGGCTTGGGCTATGGGGGCCCTTCATGGCTTCTTGCACTGGGGCTTTGATGGGTCAAGTTACGCCTCTGGGTTCAAACGAGTGAAATTATTTAACTATTGTGTTCTTTTACATACTTATTACTATACAAATATAGGACAACTGTACCTGAGGTCTACCTGCTCTTCCGATCATTTGCAGAATATCTGTCTCACTGTACTCCTGGAATACTCCTGATGCATAGTGCATTGTGGATTTTATGATCACCAAATGAGCTGGAAGGTTAACACCCATAGCCAAAGTACTGGTGGTAACTAGAAATATCAAATTAACCAAAAAAAAAAACAAAACAAAAAAAAAAACTTTGACATTGGTAAAGCTACACAAAGATAAATCTCCAATACTGCTAGCTGGCATGTTGCTAAAAACCATACCAAAGATGTAGCAAACGGGACTTTAAAAAATTGCACCTTGCATCAAAACAGAGAAGGGTAATTGCAGCTTTAGATATAAGATGGCAGTCACTTGATCCTGCTGTAAATAGTCAACTAGGAAGTGATCCCATATTTATGGGTTGCAGTAAATACCTGATAGTGTGCTGTTCCTGTTTCCAGTATCATTAGCAAAGATATGTACTGACATACATAAAGGGATATAGAAAAACTATGCAGTGGTCAGTGGTGTTTTTTATTTATCAAAGTTTCCCTAGCTGGTTGAAAAATATCCATGCCAGCATGGAAACACAGTAGGTGCCGGAATTACTTTTTGAGGACAGGCAGTGATTACATAATCAATGTTTCTTATATGCATAGACGTAAACACAAACGACCATTTACATTTATGGAAAAGGCAACATGGAAAGGGCATATGCCCAAGTCCATTCTTTGTAATTTATATCACAGTAGCTGGCCTGAATATAGTTAAGCTCTAAGATTGACAGGTAGAGGATATGTCAAATCTCCATAAGAATTAGTACTGATAAAATTATTCTACTAATTCAATAACAGGGTCTTACAAAGTACTGGCAGGTCTCCCTCTGTAAAAGTTGCTTCAATATTTCTCCTGTCAGACACATCTATTCCAGCATGGTGGTATCCAACACCATAAAGCATAAGATCTGTAAAGAAAGTATTTACTGAACAATAAATATTATTAAGCTTACTAAAGCTGGCCATAGATGGATCAAAATTTGGCTGGTTCAGCAATCTAAGGATTGACTTTTGTTGAATAGAAATGTCAGAAAACGTGTCTCGATCAGTGGGCTGCAGCTACTGATCAGTGTTTTCTGGCAGCAGAGGAGTCCTGCTGTCAGAATACAATGACACAGCGAGGAGGATGCCTCCATCCACCTTACTTGTGTGAAAGGGGAAATGCATTCGTTTTTTTTGAATCGTTTATGGCCAGCCATAGTAAAAGATGGCAAAAACTTTGACTGCAGTGGAAAGTCAGGGCATTGTGTGACATACTCTAGTTCTGCAATTGATGAATCAATGGTCGCTGGTTTTATAGGATTATGACTGAAACAAAACACATAGTAATGAAAAACTTGCCTCTCAATTTTCCATCTTTTATAGCATTAGCAGACCTCTGCAGCCTAATACAATGAAAACAAACAATACAAAGCAAGATAATCAACCATTACACTGCAGCCAAAATGTCTTATTACAAAACAGCAGAAGTCATTATTCGATGGATAGTTGGACTGATATCTCATATATATAATAACTATGCTTGAACATGAATGTAATTGTGGTTTCTAGTTTCCAAGCCTCATAACAAAACCATGTCACCAGAAAGTAGTGTTTAGGCTACAATTATTGTGGCAGCAACAGTGGAGAATGATTTGCAGAATGTGCAACATAACCACACAAATGCAAATCCAACTACAGTTTTTCTCCAGCTTTCTAACCCCCCCCCCCCCCCCCCACAAACCCCCAAAATAAAAAGTATATAAATGTAATAAGTAAATCATAAATGCACCCTGCTCCAAAAGAACACACTGGACTCTGAAGTACTTCTTTGCTTATGGCAATAGTGTTTAATGTTGAGGTAAGTGTGCCAAAAATCATTCAACATCAGGGCTGGGCCAAGGCAGAGGCAGAAGAGGTACCTGCATTGGATTCTGTGCTGCAGGGGGTGCAGCTGGGGTGGAAGCATCTCTTGCCCCTGCATTGCCTGGACAACACCTGCATTGTACAGGACTGAGCTGTCAAACTGATAGCCTAGTCCAGCAGATTATACAGGGAGAGCATCGCTTTCCCTGTGTAACCTGCACCACTTTGCTTCACTCTCAGTGTGACAATTGTCTGCTCTCTATCAAGAGTTATGTGTGCTCCTGGTAAACAGAGCACTGTGTCTGGTTCTCACAAGAGTTCTGATTATTACACATGGAGAACCATATTCTGTTCTTCTTGTGTAATCTGAAAAATTGAGCTATCAGTATATTTAATTTAATAAATTACTGTTACATGAGAAAAAAAGGGTTTTTTTAACCACCTCAAGACCGGTCACTTTCACCCCCTTCCTGCCCATTTTGCCAAAAGTATTTGGACGCCTTTCTTTACACGCACATGAACTTTAATGGCATTCCAGTCATAGTCTGTAGGGTTCAATATTGAGTTGGCCCACCCTTTGTATCTATAACAGCTTCAACTCTTCTGGGAAGGCTGTCCACAAGGTTTAGGAGTGTGTCTGTCTATGGGAATGTTCGACCATTCTTCCAGAAGCACATTTGTGAAGGCAGGCACTGATGTTAGACGAGAAGGCCTGGCTTGCAGTCTCCACTCTAATTCATCCCAAAGGTGTTCTTTTGGGTTGAGATCAGGCCTCTGTGCAGGTCAGTCAAGTTCCTCCACTCCAAACTCGCTCATCCATGTCTTTGAGGACTTTGATTTGTGCACTAGTGTGCAGTCATGTTGGAACAGGAAGAGGCCATCCCCAAACTGTTCCCACAAAGTTGGGAGCACAACATTGTCCAAAATGTCTTAGTATGCTGATCCCTTAAGAGGTTCCTTCACTGGAACGAAGGGGCCAAGCCCAACCCCTGATAAACAACCCCACACCCTAATCCCCCCTCCACCAAACTTTACACTTGGCACAACGCAGTAAGGCAAGTATCGTTCTCCTGGCAACCGCCAAACCCAGACACGTCCATCAGATTGCCAGTCAGAGAAGCATGATTCGTCACTCAAAGAACACGTCTTCACTGCTCTAGAGTTCAGTGGTGGCGTGCTTTACAGCACTGCTTCCGACACTTGCACTTGGTGATGTAAGGCTTGGATGCAGCTGCTCAACCATGGAAACCCATTCCATGAAGCTCTCTACGCACTACTGTTGTGCTAATCTGAAGGCCACATAAAGTTTGGAGGTCTTTAGCTATTGACTCTGCAGACAGTTGGTAACTTCGGCGCACTGTGTGCTTCAGCATGCGCTGACCCCGCTCAGTCATTTTACATGGCCTACCACATCCTGGCTGAGTTGCTGTTCCCAGTTGCTTCCACTTTGTTATAATACCACTAACAGTTGACTGTGAAATATTTAGTAGCAAGGAAATTTCACAGATGGACTAATTGCACAGGTGGCAAACTATCACGATACCACACTTGAATTCACAGAGCTTCTGAGAGAGACCCATTCTCTCACAAATGTTTGTAGAAGCAGTCTGCATGCCTCCTGTGGCCATGGGGGTGACTGGAACACCTGAATCCAATGATTTGGAGGGTTGTCCCAATACGTTTGGCAATATAATGTGTGTATATATATATATATATATATATATATATATATTTGAAGATCGATCAGTCCTGATGGACTAACTGCCTAAAATGCCAGGACAATAGCAGTTGTACTTTTTTTGTCACAATGTTTTGGAACATGAAGAAATTAAATACATTTTTTTTCACAAAGTTGTCATTTTATCAAATTATTTTTCACACAGCTTTGTCTGCAAAGGATGGCTAGGACTGGTGTTTCACAGGAGCATGGTCAGCAGAACATGCAGATGGGTCAGTTCTGGCCACAAGCAGAGACATGATCAATAAAAAAGTGTACTAAATAGGAGTTAGAAAAGCACCACACTATTAACTTCTGTCAATAAATGAATCACTATAGCAGCAACTCACAACCCAAAAGAATATTTTGGCATAAAAGTGAAAAGTGATTGTCGGCGGTGATCATCCATTACTCAGTGTTGTGGCTTTGCTGTTTAAGCTGGTGTCTGTCTGGACACCTTAATTGTGAGTGTTTTGGATTTTTTAATAAATTTATACTGTTTTTTAAACGTGCTGGACCATCATTTCTTTTCCTTTGTCCCTGATCATCCTTGTCAAGGTCCTACCTTTCCTCAGAGCTTGTGCTTCTCCATGTGCTGGCATCCATCTTAGGTTTCTGCAAAGCATGGTGGGAGTCTTTATGCTTTCAGGCCTCTGCGGCTCCTCCTCCAGGAAGGTGTTGCTGATCACATTTAAGCCTGCTGTCTGCAGTTGCTCTTTGCATTCGTGTCCTGTATCTTAGATTGCAGCAAGCTCTTGTTCAACTCTCGTCTCCTGGAAACCGGCTCGGCTTTGACAAGACTATTCTCTGCCCTATCCCATTACCTGACCTCCCGTTGCTGAACCCGGCTCGTAACCTGAGTATTCTTGCCTACCGTCTTGTACTGTCTGTCCTGCTGTTATCGACCCGGCCTGTCCGACCACGCTATACGTCTTCCCATCTGGCTCCCATCGGCTATACGCCACTGGCAGCAGCCATTACCGCAGCTGTGGTTACTCGGGGGCCACGACCTGGTCTCAGGCTGCGTCAAGTCCATCCCCACCATCAGGGGCCCTGGTGAAAGGCAGCCTGGGGCTTAGACTCCGCGCCCTGAGGGACTCTGGTCTGTGGATGGTGGCTGTTGTCAGTCGGTGCGTGACCCTACCTTAGGCCTGCCTGTCCATTCCACCGCTCCTGCCCTGACAATCCTGAGATTTTTGGCTGCAGAGTATTGCTCCTTGTATTGAGATATTGTCCATCACTGTGGAAGATTTTTTTCTAATTGCCTGGATATGTGAATATCACTGAAGATATATCTACGATGTGGATATCATTTACTCATCGCTCCCAGAGCAAAAACGCTACTGCTGGTCTATAATCTGATCAGCAGCTCTGGTGAGTTTATCCAATTTATTTGGTGGTGGATCAATCTCGGTGTTATGAGTTTCACAGAGGAAATTTTGAGTTATTTATGGTGTTTGGACTTTCACAGATTCATTATGGACACTTTATTTTATGGTGATATTGTATTTTAGCGCATTCCTTTATATATATTTTTCATGATCAATAAAAAAGCCAGTGTTAGTACAGGCGGTGGGCAGAGGCAGCACTACACTGGTGTGATCAGGAATACGGTTTGCTGACTTACACTGATCTGGTGACACTATTGACAATCAGGGACACCATTGGTGGCCAACACTGGTGTGATGGCACTGTAACTAGTGTGGAGGTAATAAGGAATACTGTTGCTGGCATACATTGGTCTGTTGACATTGGGACTGGTGTGGCATTGATTAGGGACACTGAAACTTGTGTGGCAGTGATCAGGGTCAATACGGTATGGAGGCGGCGAGGAGGGACACTAACTGTTGTGGCGGTGATTAGGGACACTGGGTCTGGTGTAGCAGTGATAAGAGACAACATGACTGGTGTGACGGGGATCAAGGACACTGAGTACTGCAGTGGTGATTAGGGACACTGACTGGTGTGGTGGTAATTAGAGATCAAGGCTGGTGGCAAAGAGATATAGTGATATCAGAGCAGCCTGCCATTGTACATAAACACCGCCACAGCAGTACCATGTCACCATAGTGACATTGCATTCACTCTGGTGACAGTATGTAAAAAAAAATAAATAAATACATTTTTCTAGAATTTTTTTTTACATACTGTTACCAGAGCAGTGTTAACATAGTGACACTGTACTACTATTGGGAGGTGATCAGGACAATATATATATATATATATATATTGTGGGAACTTGCTTCAAAGTGGTAGAGCTTTTCATTTAAAGCACACAGCGACTCACTTCTTTAAGGGCCTTTTTGCCCAATTTTATTTAAACAAATGTCCCATAACATAAAGCTTCCCACGCAGGGGTATCCACCATCAAACAAAACAACGATTCAGCCTCCTGGCTTATACTCAGCTTGATGTCTGTCTCCTGCAGACTTCTTTAAGAATTATGGCTCTTGCACACAGCTGGCCACTAGCACACAGTTAGTCTCTAGCAGCTCCTTGCTGCTTTTGGCTTCCACCTCTCCTAGGTGAAGCCCACCTGACTCCTGTCTTCCAGGTGGAGCCCTCCTGACTCCTATCTGCCGGGGTAGAGCCCTGAACCCTGGTCCTGACTCTATGAAAAGGCCCACACACACCTGTGCAATCAGTATCCTGGCCATTTCCAAAACCTGGTCCCAGGATTGGAGATTTCATCCCTCCCAGATCTCTTTGAAATCTCCAGGCTCCAGATCCCAAAATGGACCTTACAAACAAAGGAGGAAAGTGAAAAGCCACTTTCCTCCGTATCAAACACTTACCCTGGAGCCCCTCAACCTGCCTTGTTGAGAATCCTGGGTGACAGATCGCCACACTGTCACAATATATATATATATATATATATATATATATATATATATATATATATATATATATATATATATATATATATAGATAGGAGACCAGCCCGGACACCACCCCCCATTGACTTCTCCGTCACATCCAACAACGCCACCATCAAACCCGCCCCGCAGGCCAGAGTACTTGGTGTCATTCTGGACTCCAACCTATCCTTCCAGCCCCAAGTCCAATCTTTAACAAACTCGTGCAGACTCCACCTCCGCAACATCGCCATAATTCGCACGTTCCTAACCCCAGAAACCACTAAACAGCTCATCCACTCCCTCATCATATCACGACTCGACTACTGCAACTCCCTCCTCACTGGCCTGCCTTGCCGCTGGCTATCCCCGCTTCAGTCGATCCTGAATACGGCTGCCAGACTCATTCACCTTTCCAACCGCTCCATTTCTGCCACCCCCCTCTGCCAATCCCTCCACTGGCTTCCGATTGCGCAACGGATCAAATTCAAAATCCTAACACTGACGAACAAAGCTGTCCACCATACTGCCCCGTAATACATCACTGACCTAATATCCAAGTACCGCCCAGCACGCACACTCCGCTCCTCACAAGACCTCCTTCTCTCTAGTTCCCTGGTCTCCTCCTCCCATGCCCGCCTCCAGGACTTCTCCAGGGTGTCACCCATCCTCTGGAACTCCCTGCCCCAACCCATCAGATTATCACCTACTCTCCTCTCCTTTAGGCGCACCCTGAAAACCCATCTCTTCAGGGAAGCCTACCCCACCCCCTGCTAACTTACCGACCTCCTCCACTCTCCCTACCACTACATCCCCCACAGCTATCTCCTCCTGTGCCACCATCCCCTCCCTCCTAGATTGTAAGCTCGAAAGAGCAGGGCCCTCGATCCCCTCATGTTTTGCATTGTATTGTATTGTTATTGTTATTGTTCTGTCACATGTTCTGTCCCCCTTTGTAATGTACAGCGCTGAGCGAACCATTGGCGCTTTATAAATACTGTATAATAATATATATATATTTATAGATGTGTGTGTATTTTTTTTTTTACCACTATTTGCTTTTTACTAGTCACTGTATAAGCAATAATTTACAATGTGCTTGGCATCCATTCAAATTGCCATTGTTTACTATTGTGATAACTGTGATTGGCCACAGCTATCACATGGTACAGCCATTGTTTACTTCTAGACATGTGATCACTGTGATTGATCACAGCAATCTCATGGTGCCAGGGAGAAGCACAGTAGCCTGGCACACTGATTGGTGATCTGCTGTGTTCAGTGGATACGTTCACAGACTGCTCCTCTGCACATCTTCGGGGGCGACGCACGAAGCACGCTTCTGGGAGGACGTACCTGTATGCCCTCCCAGGACTACACTTCTCACGCCTGGCCACTGCACATATACAGCTAAATGTCACTTTAGCCCCAAATACAGAAAAATGCTTTGTACCAAAAATATGATTCTAGTGCCTCTATAAAAAGGGACAATTGCAGAATAAAGTTTGTAATTAGCAATTGTGTGGAGATGGGAATGGTGGTCTTACCTCAACTTGGGTGCCGGAGGACCTTGTCCTCTGGCACCATTCCGCATTGTTTGCAAGCCTGCAAAAACAGCACCAACACACCAATTTCTGCTGTCAAAAACAACTGTACTTGAGTTCAAAATTTAAATCATATTTTCATTTTCATTTTATTTTAATTGTTTCTAGCCTATGTCTAATAATCTGAACAATCTTGAAGTTTGTAAATTTACTTTGTGACGGGACCCACACTTATACTTCCTTGAATTCTATGACACATTCACTATGCCCTTGTGGGTAATCACTGCTGTGTCACAGATTTCACAGAGCCTGCCTTCTGAACTACATAGGTGCTGAGAGGGGGAGTTTCAGGAGGTGGAGTCAGTGCTTGCAGGCTATGTAGTCCTTAGAAAGTGAAAGTAAACGGCAGAGGAGAATTTACAAATTATGCAGAGAATCCAGGAAGTTGGGGAAAGAGATGGCCAGCAAATAGGCAGCACTCACAACGTGAAAGGAGACTTAAAATAAACATATATTGGATTGACAAATAAAAATATAATTTGTAATGCTATTATAATGCTAATGTCATAAAATGAAAGTGCATTCTGTGACCATATAACTACTTTAATAATATACTATAGTCATCCTTAAAATTTATACAAGCAAATTCTTCTAAACTGTGTGACTTGCCAAATGTACACTGTGGCTTTGAGCTTTACCATTCTCCAATATTTTGCGAAAACTTTATTGTCACACGTTTTCAGTGAATATTTGGGGTTTTGTAAATCACCCAACAGTCATGTTAAGAAAAATTATTGCAAATGTTTTTTTTTTCTAATGTTTACATCTTTTTTACAAAAAGGCCTTTATAATAAAAAATGTATGTATTCAAGTCTGCTAACAATAGCCATGTGTCTCATCCACCTCCCAAAAAATGCATAATATAAAAGACTACTATGCAAAAAAATTACTTGGTGCAAAACCATACTACTCCAAAATGACAACTTGTTTTAAGTCCCATAATGGGGAAACAGTTTTGATTGTGAATAGGTTGGCATGGCATATTCACCTCAACTAATCCACTGCATAGTTTGTGTCAATGTAATATCCATATTAACTAATCTATTGCATAGTTCATTTTAATGTAATAACCATATTGACATCCTATTTTCCTGTATTAAAAACCTTTTCACTTACAAATTGTAGGTGAAAAAAAAAAATCTATTAAATTGTAAAAAAAAATACCTCTGTGTCATTAAGTTTATTATAAAAAACAAACCTTTGCTTATGTTCAATGCTCATAATAAATTTTGCATCCTTTGCGAGGATAGAAGCAGCATGTTGTACTCCTTTCCTAGTGGCACAAAACTAAGAATTTTATTTCAGAATGAGCATAATTCTTATATGAAACAAGAAAATGGATAGGAAGATTGAAACAAAAAAATACTTACCACAAGCGTTGGCTTTTGGTCAGAATAGGTCTGTATAACACTTGCTACCTTATAGTTAAGGGTTAGATCAAATTTATATTCTGTTTGATTAGAGCCACTAGGATATCCTAATACTACTTTGCGTAGTTTCACTGGTCGGTGAGATTCATCCATTTTCATACAAATGGCTTGGCATTGTCCATCTGATAGCCACTCTGCAATCTAAAGAAAAACACTTTTTTTCTGCCTTCAGAAGAAATATCTTTCGGTTTCAGTGTAACAATTGTGAGATATAATAAACCAACCTCATTACTTTCCTTCTTTGATAAAGGGCAGTAAAAATATGGACTAACCAAAGCAACCATTACAAAGAACACCCAACAGACTAAGCACAATAATGTTGCTTACTAAACATTGTTACTGTCACACTTGCAGGAACCTTTTCAAGCAGAACATGGATGGGCCAGGATGGATATCTCCTATTTGATTGCTACTGTTATCACCCAAGACAAATTGGTGACAGAGGTGCCAAAAGATTCCTCTCCCTTCCTTGTCCCTAGGAACAAGCATGCATATTCACCTTAAAGCAGAATTAAACACAAAAGAAAACATTTATTGCAGCTTATGAATCCTTAGATGTGATGGCTGTATTAGTTTCCTTTTTTAGGAGTTCTTTCTTCTATTTTCATCTGGTGATCCAGCCAGCAAGTCTGTTCTTTTTCACAGTACAAACTCTCCAGCAGACTGTATCAGTTTACGTGGATGAGACAAACCACTTAACATGGGCAGGGGTGATTAGATGAATCAGCTTTTATGTATTCATGTAAAACCTTTATACCAAAAGAAAACAACTGTTTGCAGTAACAGATTATAAAGTGTGAGTTGGCCTTTGGCTTCAGTATGTTAGTGGGTATGCTAATACATTTAACATTACCCGCCCCCCTCCCTCCAAAACTGACAATGCTGCTGTCTGCTGTGCCTCCTGTGCTCATTCTTCCAGAGTGGTGTCTTACTGATACAGGAGGTGTTCTACTGGTCAGATCACCAGGTGAAAACAGGGGAAAAGCCAAAGAAAAGAAAATGTATGCAGCCACAACATCTAATGATTGGTAAGCAGCAAAAAAAAATAATATTTGGTTCTGGGTCTAATACTGCTTTAACCACTTGAGCTCCTGAGGATTTACCCCCCTTGATGACCGGGCCTTTTTTTGCTGTTTGGCGCTGCACTAATTCAAATAATTGCGCGGTCATGCAATGCTGTACCCAAACAAAATTTATGTCCTTTTTTTCACACAAATAGAGCTTTCTTTTGGTGGTATTTTATCACCTGTGCGCTTTTTATTTTTTGCGCTATAAACAAAAAAATCACGAAAATTTTGAAAAAAAAACAATATTTTTCTACTTCCAGCTATAAAAAATATATCGTAAACTCAAAGTTAGTCATAAATTTAAGCCAAAATGTATTCTGCTACATGTTTTTGGTAAAAAAAATCCCAATAAGTGTATATTGATTGCTTTGTGTGAAAGTTATAGCGTCTACAAACTATGGTATAGATACTGTAATTTATGCCTTTTTTTGCTATACAGTGCTGCACTAATTCAAATGATAATTGCGCGGTCATGCAATGCTGTACCCAAACAAAATTTACGTCCTTTTTTCACACAAATAGAGCTTTCTTTTGGTGGTATTTGATCACCTGTGCGCTTTTTATTTTTTGCGCTATAAACAAAAAAACAACGAAAATGTTTTAAAAAAACAATATTGTTTTTGGTAAAAAAAATCCAGTGCATTAGCGGGCAAACTGGCGCTATCTGGGAGGGGCGCTAACACTATCGGAAGTCACCAGTGACACTAATACAGTGATCAGTAAAAATCTATTCACTGTAATCAATGACACTGGTGACAGGGCAGTGAAGGGGTTAACTGGGGGGGGGAGGGGGGCGATCAAGGGGTTAAATGGGATTTCTGGTGCACTAGCGGGGCAAACTGGCGCTATCTGGGAGGGGCGCTAACACTATCGGAAGTCGCCAGCGACACTGATACAGTGATCAGTAAAAAAACCGGTTCACTGATCAGTGACAATGGTGACAGGGCAGTGAAGGGGTTAACTGGGGGGGTAGGGGGGGGCGATCAGGGGGGGGGTTAAATGTGTCCTCTAGTGTGTTCTAACTGTCAGTGTGCTGTTTTACTCACTTTTACTGTTTCTTCTTCTCTGTCTGGAACGGAATGTGTCCAGGCAGAGAAGAATGACATCATATCCTGCCCTGTGTAAATGTCAACACAGGACATGATAGGACAGGGACCGATCATCTGATTTCAGCCAGAAATCACTGGCTGAAATCTAATGATTGATCCCTCCTGGATCGAATGGTGTCACCCGCGGGTCGGCAGGAGCGCGCGCGCGCGCCCCCCCCTACCCGCGAAAGTGTCGGGAGCGCAGAACCCGTTTTAAAACGTGGTTTTGCGCTCCACTGCCGCCCTGCACACGTATATATACAGTGGCAGGGCGGCAAGCGGTTAAGCAGTACATCTGGATATTTAAAGTACTGCATAACTAAAGGCAATCTATTCAATTTCTAATACGGTTTGCGTCCCTATTAGGGAGATCCACTACCTCTATTTGCCCTGTTTACCATTAACATCAACAGTGAAAGTAAAAGAAACCTCAAATTTTGGGTTGTCCTCAATAAACAATAGAGGGGCAATTTTCCAATGGGGACACTAGTTATGGTGACCTGGGGGTCTCCAAGAAATTCCCTAAATTAACAGTTATTTTCTCATTTCCTCTTATGGATATGGGGCAGGAAGGGAAGATAAATCTCCCCAATGGAACACATATGGAAAAAAATAAACTGACATCGGATATACCCTACCCTTACTCTATCCAAAATGAAAAACAAAAAAGATTTGCCTGTAGTTCTACTCTAATTGATCGATGGGTCATGTACAATCCAGCAGCCTTATAAGCAAAGTCTGAAGGTATCTTAAGAGCTAGCTCAATAGATTTTTAACCCTTTAGTGGCGCTATACAGAATTAAGTCTGTCAGTAAAAAAAGACTGTTGGTTGGAGATTTAGCCATTTTCATTCAAATGGCTAGCAGATGGTATCCCTTGTTTGCATTGGTAGGGCTCATCCAGCTAAAGGGTAAACTGGGTTCCTAAGCTGGTCATAAATAGTAATGGGCCAAACACCCCCTTGTTTGGTTCGCAGTCGAACATTCACACATAATGAATGTTCGACTGCAAACTTCGAACACAATGCAACTCTATGGGACTTGAACCTGAAAATTCAAAAGTGCTCATTTTGAAGGCTTATATGCAAGTTATTGGCCATAAAAGGGGAATGGGGACTCTGGTACTGCCCTGAGGGACATGAATCAGTGAAAATGTGTTTTTAAAAAAATAATGTTTTTAAAGGGGCAGTCATTTTTTATTGCTTAAAGTAAAAAAAAAAAATAAAAAAAAAAATTCCTTTAAATATCATGCTTAGGGGGGTCCGCTTACACTACCTGCAAAGTTATACATCTGTATGATGCATAGAACCTGCTGCAACAGGACAGAACTTCCTAATGGGCCTGGTATGGCTGTTATGGGGAATCCCACGTACTTGAAAGAAAAAAAAAATTATTACTGTGGTGTGCCTCCTTACCTTCCTACCAGACCTAAAGGATCTGATAAGGATTGGGGGGGGGGGGGAACCCTATGCTGTGTTGTTTTTTTTTTGTTATAAAAATGTCATTAAAAATGTTGTTGAGCACTCGTTGCAATCTGACATTGGCCTGTCAGATGTAAACAATTGGGGGGAGCCAACGGTGACATCTCCTCCCAATTGTGCTGTGATTGGCCAAAGCATTGCACCTGACCTATGGTCAGGTGCATTGCTTTGGCCAATCACATTGCACTGTGAGAACGCAGTGCATTGTGGGGCACAGCGGGCAAACAGCCTGCTGAACGCCCTTACCATTCTTGTGTTTGCTGAACACACGAATGGGCCGATGTTCAACTCGAACATCAAGCCCATCATTAGTCATTAATGGCTTGAAATTCTGCCAGTTTAACAGCGACCAACCAAATTGTGATCCATATGTGGCCAATGCAGTTGAACAGAAGTCAGTCTACCGACTGACTTCTGTTCACCCATCCTGTTGCATAAAAAAACAATAAATCTGACTGAGGCATTGGTCTGTGTATTATGACAGTGGGGAGTCTATCTGCTGGCACAGCTGGGAGGATTGCCCCATCCACTTAGGCTGGCCATTCACTATTCAGTTCACAATCAAAGTGTTGTATTGTTCTCCTGTTTCCCTACAGCTTGATCATACCATAAACCACGACTTGACATCACAATTCTTCACTTGAATTCCAAACAAGAAAATAAGCAAACCTCCAAAACCAAATATTTAGCTTAGGCTTCAAATAGTAAGAACTACTGGATCACTAAAGCTCTCTGCTATAGTCATGTCAATCATCTTTAACTATGGAAAACACTGAATACACATCGAATGACTGGCCACGACCACTGCACTGAAATACGATTTTTCAAAACTTATAGATGTACTGAACTAATTTTTTTAAAAACTGCCAGGCATTTTTTTTTTTTTTTTTTTTTTTTTTTTTTATAACAGAAGGGACCCTAGTAGTCTCTTCTGTCATAAATGCCTGTCCTTGTCTCTCAGCAATAATGTAATCTGAGCCATGCATGTATAGCCATTCAAGTAGCCAAAGAGATGGGTCACAGAAGGAAGACCAAGTGAAGATGAAAGCAATCAGAACCTGTGGCATATACCTGCAGGAATGGTTGAAAAAGATTTTAAATAGTTTTTAATACCGCTTTAATTAAGTGGGATATTAATTTTTATTCTACCACTAGGCATAGCAATAATGTACAATTAAAAGAGACGTACATCATCAGCATTGGGAATTGTTGCTGAAACTGCCACAAATCTCATAGGAAGCTGTACATCTACACTGTTGGTTGTATGTGCCAGTAAAACCTGAATTGTTTTCATCCTGCTAACCACAACTTCAAGTGTTGCCCCGCGGCTTTCGTCCTTCACTGTGTGCACCTAAAAAGACAATTGGATACTTGTAGTACAGGCTCTCAACAAGGGATCCTTGCAACCCTAGGAATGCCTCACAATTCACTTTTGTCATACTTGTGTGTGTGTATTTACAGTATGGAGGTATATATATATATATATATATATATATATATATATATATCTTGCCCTAATTCATACTCATCCTTAGGTGAGAACTATGGTTAAAGTGGGACAATTGTTAAAGTATATACTACTGTACACCATTACTGTTAGGCCCCTTTCACTCGAAGGGTCTAATCAGGTCAGCTTGTCAGTTATTCAGGTGGAGCCAATCGAACCCTCCATTCACACTTCACAAGGTGTGATTTACATATTTGGTCAATTCCATATTTTCTTTGCATGGAGACAAACATAGGCAAATGTTCAAAGCAGAGGAGGGCATTGTGGTGGTGTTGGGGGGGGGGGCAATGGCCATGACCATCATGCAATAGGGTAGGGGTACTCTTGAATACCTCTATATCACTTCCTATATTTGTTTTTATAAACATAGAACTGCTGCTATTACATGGACACTCAAGATAACAGCCGCTTGACTTATTTACAACAGTAGGTTTTCAGTGAAAAATTTATTTACAACAGTAGATTTTCAGTGAAAAATTACCTCATCTATAAGAAAGAGTCGAACTAGCTGAACCAGCATATTGTCTCTCCATTTTCTACTCATAGCATCCCATTTCTCCTAAGTGGAATGAATTGCACACATTTTGGAATTAGAAAACATTAGATGTCAAGTATGCATAATCAGCAGTGAGTAGACAGCTACTGGTCTATAACAGATATTTCATAAATATCATTCAATATCGTTAATTATAAAAAACTTGCATTAAAGCAGAACTTCGCTCTCTTAATCAACATTGATTATTTTTAAACCTTAGGCTGCTAGCATTAGTAAATACTGTAGATAGGAGGATGGGTTTTCTCAGTTAAATGCACCCTCCTGTATGAATGCCTCAGATAAGGGCAGATGGATTCCAGTAAGTACTACATGAATGATCTTGCCCTTACTCAAGATAGCCACAGCCAGAAAAGATGGGGAGGTGGGGGGAGGGGGGTGTTTTTTTCAAAATTATTTCTCAGCAAAATAAAGCATGGAGACATGGATGGATGGGTGACTTTGCTTTGAATACTAAAAATGAATTCAGTAGTGTTTTCTTGGTTTGTTGTGCTCAGATGCAGTGTAGTTCTGCTTAATTGTGCCATGTACTAAAAATAGCATGATATTTAGAAATGGTTCAGTTTTTGGTGCAGTTTATGCTTCTAAGTATAATGCTTTTACCTGATGCATGGAGGCAAGTGTCTACGTTTAGGTCAGACTGTTTTTATAGGAAGAAAAAAACTTTAACAAGTAACATATTCTTGAGGTTAAAGAGGAAATTAACTCTGAAAGCTGTGTCCACAAACAAGCAGGCAGAGAGCAAAGGGCTAGTCACATTATTGCTTGTGGTCTCCCTGCAGCTGTTTGTTTCCTCATTGCTGACCTAACCATGCCTTGTTTGACACTATGGGGTTTATTTACTAAAGCTGGAGAGTCCAAAATCAGACTCCCTTCTGCATAGAAACCAATCAGCTTCCAGGTTTCATTGCCAAAGCTTCATTGAACAAGCTGAGGTTAGAAGCTGATTGGTTTCTATGCAGAAGGGAGTCTGATTTTGGACTCTCCAGCTTTAGTAAATAAACCCCTATGTGTGGGTGGGGCTTAGTCTCCCTAGTGGGGGGTACACTAAGAGCTACAATCACTAATTTCCTAGGTTCCTGCAGGAGGAGCCTTCAGTCATGTGAAAAACAGCATTAAGGCATAACTCCAGACGTAGGCGCAAGCCACTATGAGCACAGTTAACCCTCAATTAAACATGAGAATGCCTAAACATTTGTAGTTGCAACAATTTTTTGGGTGAAGTGGTACATTATCTGACAGAAATGCAGGGGTGCCAATATTTTTGGCCATGACTGTAATTTAGTACAGTGCACATTAAATAGGCATAAATGATGCCTCAGGATGAGCGTTGAGGGACACCCTTGTAATCCACATTTGATCTGTTCTTAAAGCAGACCTTCACTTAAAACTAAAAGTAACACTAATCTGTCTCTCCCCAAAACCACCACTCTATTTGCAAGTTTTTTGTCTTGTGGGAGCGGTTACCTTTATCTGACAGATACCTGCACCTAGTAATGCAATTCTTGCTTAGGTGAGACTTACATACGTTTGGCCCATCCACCACCCAACCTGCAACCTCCTGAGACACGTCACATGTCCCAGAAGGCTGCAGAACTTATCTGGCAGTGCAGAGCAATCTCATGCATGCACCATGGTAGTAGGCTGTGAAAAAGCCGGAAGTCACAGTCTGCTCCCACAGCCAAGATGGCGGCACCTGGGATCCCAAGACTGGAGAAGGAACGAGCCCAGGTGAAGACAGTGCTGGACTCCTGAGTCGGTGAGTGTCTTTTATTTAAACGTTACCAGCTACATTATTTGTGATAATGACTGTAGTAGCTCCTCTTTAAAGAATATAAAAGAATATAAAAGAAATACTTTTGTTAGTAGTATATAGGGTGTGAAAGGGTACACCCTCTCTCATATTTATACTGCTGTGTCCCTTCTGTGCAGACGCAGGTGGTGACTATAAATCATCCAGTGAAGACAAATGTTCCAGTGACAGCTGTCTAATATGTGGTCAGATTTCTTTTAATTTCCTGTTGCTTCTCCTTGAAAAGTGAAGGGAAATCTCTCCAACAGGACACAGAAACAGTGGTGTCTAAAGAAAATAAAACCACTTTTAGAAAGAGAATATCAGGAACTGATATTCCCTTTCTAAAAGGGAATATTGTTGTTGATCTTGTAGGTGGAAAGGTCCCTGATGAGAAAAAGTACCACAAGGGGTACAATTTTCCTTTATGATAACAGACTCCTTTGAAAATGTGAGTGGGAGTACAGAAGGAATTGTGATTACCAAAACTGGTTCTTAACCAAAATGGAAAAGCAAACTTTTAGTGACTTGGGCTATTCTCATTGGGGTACTGGAACCCAGATAAGTGAGGAAGGGCAACTGGCCAAGATGCCCTATAGTAGGGTTTAAAATGGTGCTATAGGGAAGAACCTGAGCTATCAAACAAAAGGAACATGAGTTGCCTAGGAACCCAATAGGATAGGCAAACTAAGAAGGCTCTCTTCTTGCTTCAAGATCTGCAGTTCACAGTGCCTTGAAAAAGTATTCATACCCCTTGAAATTTTCCACATTTTGTCATGTTACAACCAAAAATGTAAATGTATTTTATTGGGATTTTATGTGATAGACCAATACAAAGTGGCTCATAATTGTTCAGTGGAAGGAAAATGATAAATGGTTTTCAACATTTTTTACAAATAAATATCTGAAAAGTGTGGCATGCATTTGTATTCAGCCCCCCTACGAAGAACCACCTTTCGCTGCAATTAAAGCTGCAAGTCTTTTTGGGGATGTCTCTACCAGCTTTCAACATCTAGAGAGTGAAATTTTTGCCCATTCTTAGCAAAATAGCTCAAGCTCTGTCAGATTGGATGGAGAGCGTCTGAACAGCAATTTCAAGTCTTACAACAGATTATCAATTGGATTTAGGTCTGGACTTTGACTGGGCCATTCTAACACATGAATATATGCTTTGATCTAAACCATTCCTGCTACCACCATGTTTCATGGTGGGGATGGTGTGTTCAGGGTGAAGTGAGGTGTTAGTTTTCTGCCACACATAGCATTTTGCATTTAGGCCAAAATGTTCAATTTTGGTCTAATCTGACCAGAGCGCCTTCTTCAATATGTTTGCAGTGTCCCTCATATGGCATCTCACAAACTGCAAACGGGACTTCTTATGGCTTTCTTTCAGCAGTGGCTTTCTTCTTGCCCCTCTTTCATAACGACAAGATTTGTGGAGTACATGACTGATAGTTGTCCTGTGGACAGATACTCACACCTGAGCTGTGGATCTCTGAAGCCCCTCCAGAATTACCATGGGCTTCTTGGCTGCTTCTCTGATTAATGCTCTCCTTGCCCGGCCCGTCAGTTTAGGTGGATGGCCAGGTCTTGGTAGGTTTGCAGTTGTGCTATACTCTTTCCATTTTTGGATGATGGATTGAACAGTGCTCCGTGAGATGTTCAACGCTTGGGATTCTTTTTTCTAACCTAACCCTGCTTTAAACTTCTCCACCACAACTTTATCCCTGACCTATCTGGTGTGTTCCTTGGCCTTCTTGAAGCTGTTTGTTCACTAATGTTCTTTAACAAACTTCTGAGGGCTTCACAGAACAGCTGTAATTATACTGAGATTAAATGGAGATGGAGGCACCACTGGAACCAGATTTTTGTGCAGGACAGACTGGGGAGCAACCAAGCAATACTGTGCTGAAAGAGTATTTATGTGCAGAGCCCATTTTTGTGATTCAGTTGCCTTACGCAGAGAAGGAAGTTATCCTGTAAGCAGGAAGCCTCTTCTACCCATCCCTTAAAGGGACCTCTGGTTACCTGGATCCAACTAATTTGATACCGGGCATTTGCTAACTACCACCCTGAGGGAGGATCACCTTAACCTTGACCAGACCTATTTCTGATGAGGAAACCCCTGGATGTGATTCTTAATGCATATAATTATTACGCATCTGGTGAGTGCGTAATTCTGCCATTATTCACCGAGCACCACCCTCGAGTTTAACCAGTCACCTGGCACTTTTTAGTCACAAAGACCAGGGGCGGATTGACCATTCGAGCACTTGGCACTGCCCGAGGGTCCGGGGTCAGTAGGGGGCCCCATAAGATGCCCCTGGTACCTTTCCTTGGCTTTTTCATAGGCTTTTGTGGGTGTGGGCAAGGGCACAGGGGCCCCATGATCCCCTATTGCCCGGGGGCCCCATGAGTTGTCAGTCCGCCCGACACAGACTGTTGTTTCTATTGAACTTTTAATAGCATTTTATCACTCATACCATCTTTTATTTTAAATCATAAGTTTAGCGCTGCACTGTTTTACTTATTCTATTTGTAAGGTTTATGTTGGTTACCTTGAGTGCTCAGCTGCTGATTGGATAGCGCTCACTTACATTTTTTATTAAGGTAAGTATAACATGTTTGTTATTTTAAAAGAAAAAAAAATTGCCTCTACAGTTACTTTAATTCTTACACCCGACATTTATCGGACATTTTTTAAATATTGGACATTTATAACATATTGAATGCATACCAAAAAGCAAACCCTAGGGAATCAATCCTATATGCACAGGTGGGAGAGAGCTCTGGGTGAGGAACTAACCCCTGAAGCCTGGCAGATTATCTAGACTCAAAAGAAAAGTTCAATCTGCACCCTTTATAAAGAAAACTCATATAAAATACCTTGCTTTTGGTATTTTACCCTGGAGCTTCAGGTCAGCGTTTGTTGTTGTTGGAAGTTGTCAGAAAGAGCAAGGCTCTCTTTTTCATATATACTTGCAATGTCCTTGTTATGAACCATAAAGGAGGTCAGTAATCCTTTTTACTATACTGCCTTTTTGATTTAGCTAGCCCCTTTACCCACAAATTATTCCCCTTATGTTAGTCTCCTCCAGCCCTCTCAAAAACCAATAAGATGCCTAGTCCTGCTCAACTGGAAAAAAGGGAGCCTCAATCTCCTTTAGCGCTCTTTCATTTGTTATCATTCATATTGTTA